CAATAACAGATGTGTGGCATCATTGGATATGCTTTCTCATCCATTTCAACCACTTCAATCCGAATATCTTTCTTAGTCTCCTTCTCAATGAATCCTTTGAATTCATTCAAGTATTCCACTTCATCAAATGTTACCTGATACTTCTTCATATTCATCAAATAATCCATACTGAATCCAATTCTCATTTTGCTGTTACTGTAATTCCTACTCTCTTCCAGAATACTCTTCTTTATCTCATCATTGTTCTTCCCACTCTCCTTCATCTCCTTTATTCTCTTCATACAATCCTCCTTCCAATCACTGTATTTATTTGCTACCTTAATCACTACCTTATCCTTCTTTCTTACCATATTAATTTGTCTCACCACTTCCTTAACATATTCAATTCCATCAATATTACCTATATCACTTTTCTCACCCATATCAATCTTCTGTCCAATCTCCTCCATCAAGTATCTTGTATAACTTGGTATTATTGGATATAACATCCTCATCATCCTATAATACGCCCATTCTTTCATCTTATAGTTCATCCCACCCATGGTCTCATACGTCTCAATCGTAGCATTCATGTTATAGAAACCATACTTCAATGCATCCCTATAAATCATATTCTCATACGCCTCATTTGTTCTCTTCTCATTTTCATTAACACTTTCAACCAAATACGCATCAATCAACCTGGATTCAATTGATCCAGTTTTAGGGACATTCAACACATTCTGAGCCAAAGTGTACAACTTGAGCACAAATGAGTTAGCAACACTCTCTACGAAGTTGGCATCCTCATTCGTGTCACCACACGCAGCCAGACACATTCGAGTTGCAGATGGTCCAAACTTCTTTAGAGCATTTTCAACAGTCAGGAAATTCCCTTCTGATTTGCTCATTTTGGAATTATTCAGCAATAAATGCCCATTTGTGAATATACGTCGTGACCAGTATTCCCTNTTCAACCAAATACGCATCAATCAACCTGGATTCAATTGATCCAGTTTTAGGGACATTCAACACATTCTGAGCCAAAGTGTACAACTTGAGCACAAATGAGTTAGCAACACTCTCTACGAAGTTGGCATCCTCATTCGTGTCACCACACGCAGCCAGACACATTCGAGTTGCAGATGGTCCAAACTTCTTTAGAGCATTTTCAACAGTCAGGAAATTCCCTTCTGATTTGCTCATTTTGGAATTATTCAGCAATAAATGCCCATTTGTGAATATACGTCGTGACCAGTATTCCCTATCAAAACAGGCTACGTGATTCATTAGGAAGAATATCAGGTGATTATTGATCAGATCCTTTCCAGATACTCTCAAATCAACTGGATAGAAGTATCTGAAACTACTTCTTGCTTCTACTGCAATTTCTACATGTTTCTTTCCTTCTTCTCCAAATTCATCCAACTTCTTTCTCAACTTCTCCTGATCAATTTCACCAAACACAAATTCCCATAGTTCGTTACACAGATACTTCTTGCAGTAGATTTGATCATTGCCCTCTAGATCACCAAATAATAGATGCTTCACTGTGTAAAATGCCATATAAATGGTTGAATCACTTAATGAATCAATTAGCACACTCTCATCCTTATGGAATCTAGTTCCCAATCCAAATGACCTACTGAATCCCCACTTTTGAATCCAATCTAATGCTCCATACAATTTGGCACTGGTGTCTTCAGAGCATTTCANTTCTCAATTTCTCCTGATCAATTTCACCAAACACAAATTCCCATAGTTCGTTACACAGATACTTCTTGCAGTAGATTTGATCATTGCCCTCTAGATCACCAAATAATAGATGCTTCACTGTGTAAAATGCCATATAAATGGTTGAATCACTTAATGAATCAATTAGCACACTCTCATCCTTATGGAATCTAGTTCCCAATCCAAATGACCTACTGAATCCCCACTTTTGAATCCAATCTAATGCTCCATACAATTTGGCACTGGTGTCTTCAGAGCATTTCAGTTCTCCAAGACATTCCCTGGTTCTCTTCTTCCACTCTTCATTCCCATAATCCAAAAACCACTGATCTAATAATGCAACTGTGCATATTCCACCTGATCTAGAAATAACCTGGTCTTCTGGAACATAACATACCAAATAATCACTTTCTAATCCACTACTACCCATCTTGATTCTCTCAAACTTCTCTTTATCTAAATCACTTATTGTTTCACCCTTGCTTTTTAAGTAACTTCTTTTCAACACTTTTTCACCTGATATTTTTGTCACCTTGTTATGAATCCTACACAAATCTACCTCAGTGCATTCATTAACACCCTCAATCTGATTCTTTAGATTCTCATAAATGAGTCTTTCAGCTACATATGTCTCTGATCCAATTCCAATTCCAAATTCAACCCATTCAATCACCTCAGACGTGATAATCNAACATACCAAATAATCACTTTCTAATCCACTACTACCCATCTTGATTCTCTCAAACTTCTCTTTATCTAAATCACTTATTGTTTCACCCTTGCTTTTTAAGTAACTTCTTTTCAACACTTTTTCACCTGATATTTTTGTCACCTTGTTATGAATCCTACACAAATCTACCTCAGTGCATTCATTAACACCCTCAATCTGATTCTTTAGATTCTCATAAATGAGTCTTTCAGCTACATATGTCTCTGATCCAATTCCAATTCCAAATTCAACCCATTCAATCACCTCAGACGTGATAATCACCTCAGACGTGATAATCTCATCAGTTGTTGATAAACTGGTTGCTTCTACCAGAATATTCATTCCAACTTTCTTCAGAACTACTGGAATTGGTTTAATACCCTCTCCTTTCCTCCTATCATGATCCAAGCATATTTGTTTATCAACTGGGCAATATATGGAATATCTCTTACCAAAACTGATGTATTTTTTCGACTCTAACTTCCTGAATTGATACCTCACAAATGAATCGTAATATTGATCAATTTCTGTAGTGATAAATGACCTACTCCAATCTATATTTGCATCAAACTCAATTAATGATTTCTTACAATATTCTGGGAATGTCCTACACCAGTGATATGGATCAGCGAATCTACAAATACACATATTTCTATCACATTTCTCTCCAATTGGATGTGTCATCTCAAATCCAATTGACCTCAATATTTCCATAACAGAAACATCAACTTTCTCACCTGCTAATTCCTGTCTCAACTTCTGTGCTGATGCTGAAATAGGCATTCCAGTACAATGGAATCCAAATGGAAATAGAACATTATATCCCTTCTGCTCCATGTAGTAGCTAAAGAAGTCTGACTTAGATATTGAATACAAGTGGCCTAAATGAAGCTTACCATTCATATATGGATATGGAAACGTAATAAAGAACTTCTTGCTATTCTCATCCACCCCTATTCTACGTCCTTCTCTTCTTCCCTTTCGTTCTAAGTTATTTACGTATTCTAGTTTGCTATTTGACTGAGTCATGTGGTTAAATTTTTACTTCTTTTCCTGACTATAAATGATTAGAATATTCTTACCACAATATAAAACAAAACTATCTTCGATTCTCTTAATTTATTACCCTCTTAAGGTGTATTACCCATCACACCATACCTGCTTCACTCACCATCTTAGTTTTCTGAGATTCCAGGTAGAAGTAAACTCCAATACTAATTGCTGCAATAACAATCAGTATAATGCCTACAATCAGAATAACCTTGAGGCCTGTTGACATTCCATCCTCCTTCTTGTCAGATGATCCTGTCTTTGGCTTTGTCTTTGGTTTTGTTTGCGTCCTTGGCTTTGTTTGTGTTCTTGTTCCCACTGGTTTCATAGTGAATTTGTTGTTCTCAAACTTCACGTCCATCAACTTGGACTTGTATGCTTTGTCCGTATTGTAGACCACGAACATCGTGAATAGGTCCTTTTGCACCACATCCTTGATTTTATTCAAGCAGACGTATGCATTGAGGTCCTTGATTCCGTCCCTAATAGCTGGCTTCAAGTTACCTGCTGGATTGTCGTTGTCTTGATCCACCTTGGTAGTTAGCACATCTTTCATCATGTCTGATACTTCAGTTGGAACTATTTGAGTGAATGCATCAGCAGAAACCTCAGCAAGTGCAGCTGCGTGTTCATCGTGTTTAATTGACCTCTTTCTAGAGTAAATTACCACTGCAGGCAATTCGGTCGTCAGATAATGCAGCAGATCATCACGAGTCACAAATCCATCGTCAACTTTCTTGTATGCACTCATGTCAATTGTTGTTGCATCCTTATCAGACTTCTCAGCCACAAATGCCGTAAGATCGGTTAGATCATTTTCAAACGTATTCTTCTTGAGCATCAGATATTTTTCAGATGAAATGTCAATTATGCTCGCGTCCTCATCAGCACCGTTATCGTCGAATGTCTTCTGGAGGCTGTCAGCAGCCATAATGATGACAATCTTACTGATCAATCCTGTGTTAAAAAACATAGGGTAAAAATAGAGAGGATCATATTACCGCAAATTAATTGATCATTTTCGTGTTAAATTAGACCGTATTACTTCTTGGTTGGTGCTGAATCACGTACCAATTGTGCTAAATTGATCAAGATCACTCTTTGAAGATTGTGCTCCAGTATGTTGTTTGCTAGTTAAAATACAGCAATTCAGTCACTTAGCCACTTGTTAGTCTGAATCAGATTTAGAAGAGTTCATCCTACCACATTTCATATTTTCCCTCTTTTTTTCACAAATTTCTACCTCAACTGATCCAGGTAGTTTCTTCTTCTCATCAACATCCAACTACACACCAGTATTAAATATAACATTTACTGATGATTCCTTGTCAATAATTAGGGTTCAATGAAAACTATTTCTTAAATAGTCAGTTTGATAGGTTTGACACCTGATACTGATATCAACTAAAACTTGCATAAAAAATAGATTTTCTTAAACCATATTCATAGACGATTCCTTGCCAATACCACTATCTGATTAATTATTTATTCTTTTTGTCATTTCCTCTTCCTTGTGACTGTTGAATGCCTGATCAAGTGTCTCTGTGACTACTTCAGCCGCATCCATTTGCTCATTTTCTGCTTCGTGTCTCTTTGTTCTGTAGAGCTGTACAGCCAATTTCACTGCACTTGTCACACCTATCTGTTTGATTACGTTCTGAAATGTGCTGTTATCCACATTCACGTACGCCAGTCTCACAGCTAGCCCATTCTCCTTGTTCTTGTACTCGTATACCTCCTTTCCGAAGTCATCTGGCTCGTATTCCTCAGGCATCACCGAATACTTGGCCACAAACTCAGCTGGCAGCTCTCTTGGATCCACGTGATCAATATTCAAATGAATCTTGCACTTTTTCTGAATCCCCCTTATGGCGTACTCAATATGCCCTGCTTGTGGAATATTTGCATGAAGTCGCCTACGTTCGATGTCTCCACTAAACACCTCGTCCTTGAAGTACTTCGATCCCTTTGACGTCTTGCAGATGTTTCGATACGAATCAACTGCCCTTTGAATCAGCCCCTTCTTCCCGTAAAGCAGAACTGGATTCAGTGACACAAACTTGCAAGCCAACTTGTTGCATTCTGTCTCGTAATTCCACCTGTTTCCTGAATATCGCTCATAGGGCACATTCGCCCTGGGATAGACGCAGTTGTCTGCCTTGAACTTCTCATTCAGTTTCGTGATGTCCACGCTGTCCAGGTCAAATCGTACGCAAAACTCGTTCTCATCCACGGTGTCCTTTGGCATCGAACTCATCACCGATTCAGAGAGCTTCGTGTTGTACTTGAATGCCAGTCTCTCTTCCCCATCAACCATCTTCACGTACGGCTGTGACGCAGGCAGATTCACAATCTTCCTGTTGCTGATCTTCCTTGGCTCGTCAGCCTTCCGCTTCTTCTTCTCCTTCTTCTTCCTAGGCGCATTTGTGAAGTTCTCGTCGTTCCCCACGCGTGGGCTGTAGAACTCAGCCTCCTCGTAGTTCTGCAGCTTCATGCTGTTGAAGTTGTTCTCGTTCGACGCAGCCTGCTCGTCGCTCTCGTCGATCGACTTGAATGCGTTTCTCATGTCACTGTGCATGCCCCTGGAAATTTTTATAGGAAAAAAAGGAAGCATCAGGGGAATCAGAGAGGGAAGTGACAGCAGTAGGAGAATGGGAAAATGGCCTAGAAAGACTACTATACAGGGGCTATTATAGTATGGTATAAGGTTGTTGAAGAATATTACAGTACATCATTTCCATATATCAATTGTCCCCTATTGAATGATTTGTTATTTTATGGGATTTGTTTTATCAGTTGTACACGAATACGACATAAATAGGGAAGTAGAGAGCACTGCCACCGTGGAGGATGCGCAGTTTGTGGCAAATGCTGCAAATATCAGCAGTTTGGCACTAAACAACAACATTTTACAGGTGGATGGAACTGGATTCTATTCTAAAGAACGTGTGCTATCACACGATTTGCTCTCTCAGACAGCCCAGTTTGTGGAGATGTTTGCTCTTTATAGTCGATTTGAGTACGTCAGAAGCACAATTCAGTCCAAGAAGTACCATTTTCCAACATTAAAGGAGAAACTGATTTTGATGGAAGGGAAACTCCTTGGATTCAGAATGAGCAGAGACGGAAAGAGAATGAGGCCTGTTCTTCTTGCTCTTGATCTGCTGAAGACAGGAGAGCCAGCAGAGACAGTTGTTTCCCACTTTCTTAGTCTTATTTCTCATAAAATCAGTTGTATGAAACAAGGCGTATTCCATGCTGAAGTAAGTGGCATTTCATTGACTCGAATAGACAGTAAAGAAGATGTGCGACTGTTTGAGGAGATGCTTGGACGACTTCTGCTCTGTAAACAGGTTGGAACACGAATCACGACTGGTGCCCATAAGAAGTCACGTGGCTACTGGTTTCTTCTGATTCTGATGTTTGTGTTTGGAGTGGTTTCAATTGGATTCATCCTGGTTGGAGTGATACGAATTATACTACGGAAGACTGGTCGCTATCGGGTCTATGAGACACAAGAAGACGAGAACATGGTCACGAAGAAGGAAGATGGCAAATATACGATTGGTTCAGAAGTATAGAGATTTGTAATAAATATATTCGGGGTAAATGACTACCAAAATAAACAGCCTGAAACAGGGGTATAAAAACAGTAAGACTATTTACACATGATTGGTAGAGTGATAGCACTATTAGGAGCAGTCTGGGCTGAAGAAGAGGCGTGTGTGCCTCCAATGGATGGAATGGTCATCAACCACTACGTTCTGGAGAACTGTACTGCCTGTAACAGGCTTGGGCCAGTTGTAGACGAGTTGCTTGGAAGAGTTGAAAAGAGAGCAGTTGGAGTGAAATACAGGCGGGTAGTTTGTAATGACTGTGATTGTGACGGAATCAAGGCATTTCCAACAATAGAAATAACTGATGATAAAAAGGGAATAGGAAGAACAACAGGGTACAAGAAGTACAACGAATTGGCTGGATTTGTGGCAAAGAGGCTTGGACTGAATGAGGATGCGCTATTAGGGGCGATTGAGACGGAAGAGAGTCGAGTGAAGCAGCTGAAGAGTAGCGACTTCCTGAGTGGATTTGATGGAGAATGGGTCGTACTGTTCTATGAGGACGCCCAGGATCCAATGAGGAAGATAATGGCAGAAATAGCAAAGACAGAGACACAGGTGAAGTTTGGTGAGGCACATAAGAGAGACGTAGGTGGAAATGAGGGAAGAATGAGCATATCGAGGTATCCACACATTAGTGGAATCAATGCTGGGACATTTGTTCCATTCATGGGATCGTACGATGGAGACGACTTCAGGAGTCGTCTTACGGCATTCGTGGAAAAACTAGCAAGACCGAGCTTCGAACCCATAACCTACGCAAAATTGAAGCAGCTGTCTAAGACCCTGGCTCCTGGTGAACCAGTTTACGTAGTGGCATATCGCGACTACGACACGGCCTCCTTCTACTTCGGCAGCCTTGCTAAACAGTTCAAGTTCAAGACGACAATCTACCGCACCAATGATCCAGTCTTCTTCGAGAAGGCTGGATTCCACCCAGAAGAGACTCACGACGACCACGATCAGCTGGTCCGTCTCTTCGTCTACAAAAATGGATCATTCTACGCCTGCCCGTACAAACTGGAGGAGAATGCCGAGGTTGTTCAGTGGATATTCCACACTCACTTTCCATTTGTGACTGTTCTTGGAAACGAGAATTTCTACTCCGTTTTCCACGGAATTAAGCCAGTTGTCCTTCTTGTGACTGAAGGAGACGCCCTTCTTGACGAATTCAACCGCATTTCAGCCGATAGACACCTTGGAACGCCCTACACAAATACGCTCTTTGTTGCCCTCGATGCTGCTGAATATCCGCTATTCAAGCAGAGTGTGCTTCCATTGGTTCGAATCCCGTCAATTTCTGTTTTTGACCCATTTGCCTCACAATGGTTCCATCAGCCTGATGAAGTATCAGCTGGAAACCTGAGGAAGAAGACTCTCTCGTACATCGAAGACTACTACGCTAGACGCCTACCAACATATCCACCAGCACCATCCAAAACTAGGCGATACCTGGCAGCAGCTGCTATTGTAGGAGTATTACTGGTTATCATAACTTATATCAGGCGAGAGAGAAACAAGAAGTTTGCATACTACGATTGAATACATAAATATAAAAATGATACGATTAATTGCTGATATTACTCACCCCATATGCTATTTGATAGATTATTGGGGTTGTTTAAATCAGATAACCAGTATTCTCAACTTCTTAACATTAATGATGACCAATTTAGTGGTATGTCATGTGAATTAGTCAGGTCCAATGAGTTCATACAGTGCATGAACATAGTTATCAACAATTTCAGGCATAAATATGAAAAAATCAATAAAAAATTCATCAAATACCGGAAATTGGATCCAGAACCAATCAAATTGAAGAATGAGATCAGAATACAACTCTACCACATGAGAAAGGTCAGAGAATTGTTCACTAGAGCACTGAATGTGGTGACCAACTGCATATTGGTGCATCAGAATGATAACAGGATTGTTCAAATTATGAAGATTTCCACCGAAATGGCCAGATTGGAGAGTATCATCAGTAACTTGACTATCCTATCAAACAGTCTCGATTTGTTACTAAGAACGTGACTCAATTTCCACCCATCTATGCCCAGTTCCCACCAGTTCAAACTGAAGAAACTCCTTCAGGATGATTCCCCCTACACGAATTTGACCAAATGCTCCTTGCGTCTCTATAAAGTGTGTGACATCACTGGATTGCCATCCAACTACCAGTGTCCTAGAAGCAGACTTCGATACTACGACTCATCTGTCTACGATTACATCAAAAGCCTTGAGTTTGAGGAAGTAGAAAGATACTACGAATTGAGTAGATTTAAACATAGGCATTACTTTTGTATTTAACTAGTTTTCCACTACTCATTTTTCTACCCCAAATCCGATGAGAAACACGTCAAACCCACTCAATTCCAACTTGGCCAAATGCGATAGCACAGAAACCATTTCAACTCTTGAAGACTACGATGAGAAGAATAATGAGAAATACGATACCACAATCCACGAAACAACTGCAACTGCGTCATTCACTGACTTCGGCCTCAACAGCCGTCTCCTTCAGAACATCAAGGCCGCCCAATTTGAGCAGCCTTCTCCAGTTCAAGCCCTTGCAATTCCAAAAATGCTTCTTGGAAGGGACGTGCTCTGCCAGGCGAAGTCTGGGACTGGGAAGACGGCCGTTTTTGTGGTAGCAACGGTGGAACAGACACTGAGAGACCCAAAGACCAAAACAGTCGTCTGCTGCAACACGCCTGAAATGGCCGAACAAGTCCACTCTGAGTACACGAGATTCACTCGTGGAATGAACATCAACACAATTAACCTTAATTCAAGTACTGATCAATATATTGATCAGAATATTGATCAGAATATCAGTATTTTCATTGGTGAGATTGACGCCCTCCTGAGGCATAGGCGAATCAATTCAGTCAAAAATGCCCTTTTTGTCCTTGATGAATGCGACCAAATCATCAACCATCGTGGCCTAAGAACCCTTCTCTCTCGCATCCACCCGAAATCAGTGAACATGTTCACGGCCACCCTCACCCAGGCGGCCAAGAGGGCTGCTCTTGCTCTGCTTCGTGATCCGTACGAGCTGTACGTCCACGACGACACGCAGCTCACTCTCTACGGATTGAAGCAGTTCTACAGGGAAGTGAAGGAGAGGGAGAAGCTGGAGACCACGCAACGAATCATCGATGGAAGCGAGGCAGCCAAAATCATCGTATTCTGCAACAGGCCTCAAAGTGTGGCGTACTTGGCCACGATGCTGAGGCACAGGAGGGTTCTGAGTGCAACTGACTGTGATGGAGACGGAGTCAGGGCGTGGCAGCTGCGACTGTTCAAGGAGAGCAGGACGCAGGCAGTGCTTGCTGCCACTGACGTCATGGCACGTGGAATTGACGTCAGAGGGGTGGAATTGGTGATCAACTACGATATGCCGCACGATCCAGAAACGTATTTGCATAGGGTAGGAAGAGCAGGACGATTTGAGACTGAAGGAGTTGCAGTGAACTACATCAGTGGAATAAAAGACAGAATGAGAATGAAGGAGGTTATGAACAGGTACGAAGTGGATGTAAAGGTGATGTAGAAGAAGAATGGTTGTATTGACTCTATTACTTTTCTGATATTCACCCCTTATGAACATTGCTACTACAATTATTTCACTATCAGAGTCTCTGTGATAAAGTGTGGTGTGAATTGGAGAATCTCCAAATTGGTATCAATGATACGATGAAACAACATGGATTTACACCCGTGGATAGTGATGAGTGTTTTGAGTTCATTAGAGGTGATCGATCAATGGTGGTTGTGAGAATAGGAGACAGGAACAACAGTACAGCAGTGGATGAGAGTCATTTTAGTGATCGTGGAATGAGATTGTACAGTGAAACAAGAAGTATTAGTAGACCAAATCATGAAGTAGAAGACTACAGAATAACATTCTATAGGAAACTAACTCACCAATAATAATAACATATTCATTGATCTACCACTCATTGGGGTCTATCTTCTTTTTGACTACCTTATTCTCATTGTTCTCAACTGTCTTATTCTCCATGCTGTATTTCTCACACAAACTAATTACGTCTTCCACGTCTTCCATGTTTCTTCCTTTTTTGGTATTCTCCCCCAGTTCAATGTATTCTACACTGTTTATATCATCACTGTTACTCTTCCTTACCACTGCATATCCATCAATTACTCCTAGCACCGTCTCACTTATTGATTTGATTAAGTACAATACTCCACCATTTCCAACAAATAGGTTGTTACCACTCTTCACGTAGAGTTTATCATCAGTTATTCCAACATAACTGATTCCACTGATCTGATATTGATGAATTAGGTGTAGATCAGTTGTCATTAATTGGAGTTGATTGCTATTCCACATCAAAATGTGGTGATCATAGACCAGGATGTTATCATAGGTGCAATATATCTCATGGATGGTATCCATATCACTGTTAATCACACTCAGAAGATTGTTGTTGATGATATAGATCAGTTTGCTGTTGATTCCAACTGATTTGATTCCACTGAACTGTTTAACACTGTTGTTGTGGAATATTCTGGTTGAATCAGCCAAAATGCACCTTGATCCACAGAATGCCCCCAGTGTGATTGACTCATCCATCTTCATTTCCACTGGTATCATATCACTATCATGATACTTGATATGGATCACATTACTGATATCATTCTTAATTAGGTACATGTAGCCAGTATTATTGTATTGGAGTAGTAGTGTAGTTGGATTGAGTTTGATTGTATTACTTTGAATACTAATTATATCGGTGTTGATATTGGTAGTAATATTACTAGTATTAACATTATTAGTCACATTCTCTGATACCTTATTGGTGAATTGTTTTCCTTTTTTAGTAACATCAAAATGATCCTTGTTTCTCTTTCTGATTCCTAAACCACTTCCTCCTACTACAAATGGCTCTTCTTCCCTAGTCTTCCTTCCTCTGATTATTTCATCACTTTCTGAATTCATCAAATCAACCTTCACCTCTTCAACCTGTTTGTTCCTGAATTCCCTATCAAGTGATCTGTCCATCATAGGGAGCATTGTGTTACCAAGAACACCATTTGAATCAACGTAGAACAAATTGTCACCAACAAATGCAACTGGGGCAGAAATGGCAATGCTGTACTTCTTGGTGTTAGAGAAGCCAGTGAGAAACTTCGCATTTCCCTCGATGATCAGGAGACCGCCCTGATTTGAGACTACGACATCATTGATGTATTCAGTGCTGGTGTAAACAGAATGCATGTCACGGTTTCGGTAGAGAAAGAGGGTTGATCCCTCTGAAATGTAGACGGTGTTGTTAAACTGAAAGAGTCTGGGACGACGGAAGTCGAAAGAGTGGCTGTTGCAATGGGACATGACGTACTTGTCAGAGTCAGTGAAAATCAGGTCATCATCGTAGGCAGCAATTTGGGAGACTGGTCTTGAAAATGTGACCGTATTGGCACGTCTGAATAATTCACCACTGAAACTGTAGCATGGAATGGCATCTTCCAACAGAATGTAGAGCCTATTTGTTCCAGTAGCAATTTGCCTGATTTCTGATCCAAATTCTGCGGCATATTCTGCGTAGTCAGAAAGACGAATCGTCTTATTCTCCAGCAATTTGTTTGTATTCTCTTTTATGCTTATTATTTTGTTCGTTTCTGTATTTATGCAAAATAGTAATTTGCCTTCATAAATAAATAAATGCGTTGGATAGAGAAGGAAGCATCCTGTACACTCCACCCTGAGTATCATACTGTTGTATACGACATTCTGCAGCACAACCTGTCCAGGAGTCTCTCTGAATGCAACAACCTCTCCCTCAGCCTGAATGCTGCCTTTCATAGGGGCTAAATTTGCCTATTTTTTGCCTCTGCCTTTTTCTCAAAATTTCCACCCCAGAATCAATGGGAATCACTCGCTGCGGAAGACACAAACGTAAGAAATCTGGTGGAACCAGAAATCAGATGCAGAAGAAGAGGAAGAACATGATGGGCCGACAGCCATCGAATACGAAGATTGGCGCAGAGCGAATCAAGGCATTGCGATGCAGGGGCAGCAACATCAAGCAGAGGGCATTGCGCCTGAATGAGGGCCTATTCGCGTTTTACGATGGGAGCGAATACGTCTCAAACACCTGCAAAATTGAGCAGGTGATTTATCACCCAAGCAGCAACGAGCTGATGAGGACGAATACGCTCACTAAATCAGCTGTGGTGAAAATATCAGCAGAGAACTTCAGCGTGGAGAAACTGGGAGACATTGACCGTGTTCTGAATGTGATGAAGAGCAGGGGCTTCTTCTACGGAATTGTCACAAGCAGGCCAGGCCAGGAGGGAAAAGTGGTTGGCCACGTTCTCCAGGGGGAAGAACTGGAATTCTACCAGAACAAGCTGAAAAAGGGCAGAATTGAGGCAGCCTGAAAATGACTGAATAAAGTTGGATTTTTCACATGTTGAACTGCCTTCTTACGGCCTCCTTGACCAACTTGTTGGTCTCAGGGTCGCCACTGTCGACTTCAAAGTCACCGTCGAATTCCTTCTCCAATTCGAATTCAACGTTGTTCACCTTTCCGCTTCCACCAGTCTTTCTGATGTAATCGATTTGAATAGCAATTTTCTGGTTATCAAAGGTGTACAGGTTGTCCAGATCCAGCTTCTCAATGGTTACTTTGCCCTGCTTCTCTGGAACAGGTGGACTCTCTGGCAGTGAGGTGGCTGCTGCAATTAGTTCAAGTGCATAAAGTATCATGGGTTATGAATTAGAGCAGTTTATAAGCGAAATAAGCTTAAATTATAAGCGTATTTGTTTGCCCATGTCTGATAAGTGGGAGGAAAACAGGAGCAACATTCCTGAATTCGACTACAAGGGTCTCTGGAGGGAGATAGAGGGAAGCAGGGAGATGACTGAGATGGCTGATGACAATTCCATGCTTCAGAGGAAGCCAGCTGATGAGACATTTGACCCAACTGAATTCATAAAGATAACTGAGGATGAGATGAAGCAGGCCAAAATACTCTCGAAACAGAGCCAGAAGGAGCACTTCGTAGACAAAGAAGGCGTCAGGGAGTACTTCAGGAAGATCAACGAGTATCTGGACCAGGATAACCAGGAATTGGACCTGATTCTGGTCAAATTGGATGAAATAGTAAATATCACCAAATAGTGCTAGAGTGGTACAGCCCTGATGATCGTGTTTCCCTGTTCTATTTCAACAGTCTTTTCGGTGCTAAGGGGCTTCCTGCAAATTGGACACGTGGACTCTCGTTCACACCACATTTTGAGACAATCAGTGTGGAAGACGTGATCACAGCCAAGCATCTTCCCACGTTCCATGTCATCAGTGCAAATCACACACGTTGTGTTCACAACCGTATCAGGAATGCTCTCAAGGCGGCTACAGAGTGCCACGTACCTGTAGAATATCACGCATCTTCTCCTCAATTCCTGTAAATCAATCACAATAAGTTTGATGTAGCTGATTGGCATCCTGAATCTGATCAGGTTGTTGGCGTAGTAGGCAGTGAGGATGATCTTGGCACTGAGATGGAGGAAATGGATTCCAAATATCGTATATGGATTCATCTCACTGAAAATGAATAGAGCCATGTGTTTGAAGAGGTAGAAGAGGCTGATGAAGTATTCGAAGGCAAGCAGGCCGTTGAATGACATGAAGGCCATTGCGAACTTGTTGACGTACTGTTGCAACTTGTAGAGAATCAGAGAGCCAATCACCACAAAGCAGACCAAATTCCGTGAGAAGCTTCTGTTATGCAAATTAAGCTTAAACACCCATGTTAGACCAGTCACATTGTACATGAATACAAATGGAAGCAAAGAGCTAATATGGAGGACATAGGGGAATGAGACAGCAGTCATGAAGCAGTTGCTGAGGTATTCAAGGGCCATGTCGTTGAAGGTGCCTTGCTCTGACTCAGCAAGAGGCAGGAAGAGCGTGTGGCTCAGAATGGCGGAACAAGTTGTCAGAAGCAGCGTCAGAAGGACGTTGTAGAGCAGGAAGACGTCTGTGTTGGAGTAGATGGTCTGGATGCAGTCAAAGAGGTTGAGTTGAGCGACGTGGAGCCTCAGAAGGAGGCCAATGGCGCAAGAGACGGCCAGGATGAGTGTGGCGTAGAATGTGGCCTCGTTCTTCATGAATGATTTAAGCATAAAGAGGGGTGGAAACAAACAAAATGTGCAGTTTATTTGTTCATGCATTCTTGAACGTGTTTGATGAGTTCAAGGCGCGATTTGAACGATTTCTTGCATTTTGAACACGTTAGAAAGAGTGAATGCTCGGTTTGGTACGTTTGGAGACTGCTATGAGATTCTGTCTTTTTTGATTCTGATTTCTGCAAATTGGCTCTTTTTGATGTGACTGAAAGCTGTTTCTTAACTGGTTTAGCCTCTTCTGTTTTGATTCCAATGGCTTCTTTTATTCCACTTTTTTCTAAATGCTTCTTACTGTTCAGGTGCATCTCAAATGTCCTACTTGTCATATAATTCTTGTTGCATTCTGTACAGCTGTATTTGTACACCTTTTCCTTTGGAACTTCCTTAACAACAACTTTATCTTTTTTGCCTGATTCACTTCTTTCTTCTGGCTTCTTGTCCTCTTTCATCCTGTAACTCAGCACACTTGTCAGGTATCTAACTCTTTTTTCTACATATTTGTCACTGATTGATACACTCTTGTAATACTTGATTAGATCTCTACTACTATCAAAGCTGTTAACTCCTCTACATTTGTTCAGGTATATTCTGCTTATTCTGTCATAGAAATCATCCTTATACACCTCAATATTACTCTTATCGTATAAATCAATCTCAATATTATTCATCAGATACTCATAGGCCCAGTTGATTTCCACCATGCTAAACCTCTTTGGTTTTCTTCTGTTTTTGTAGTAAATTTGTTTAGTGTCTTCTATGCTTATGAATTCGTTATCTATTCCCAACGTGTATCTTGCCTTATCGAAATCATCTTTGAATTCTGTCCTCTTTTTACCAAACACCTTGCCAATTAATCTACTAATCACACCCACAATCATCCTAAATAGATGAACCATCATCTCCAAACACCCCTGTGCTGTATTCCTCACCCATCCACTTTTCACCATTTTCTGGGCTACAAAAATTGCCAAATCAGACTCCTTTTATCACCCTGTAGTATTTGCTCTCTCCTGCTGTCTTGCTCCTTCTGTTTATTTCAACAATGTCTTCTACTTCTCCACCAAGATACCTTGCAATTATGTCACTCTTCAACATCACTGGTAGGTCCTCTTTGTTGCATTTGAGTCTCTTCAACAGCTGCTGTGACTCATCTTCAGCCATAATCCTCTGCTTTGGAACCAAATAGTGTAGAGTTGGATTGAATAGCAGTTCCTTGTACAAGAATATTTCAACCTGTATGCTTAACTTGGTCAAGTATGCAAGGGTTGCATGATTCAGCTTATTCACCACAACCAGAACCAGCCTAGACACGTTCTGACTGCTGTAGTCTGTGATAATCTGCTCAATCATCTTCTTCTGCATCTTTTCTGGTAGTGTAAAGTGTACAGCAATGGACTTGTTCTCTTTGGAACAGATGAGGTTGCATGCAGATGGATTCTCAGTGGTGAATGTGCTTAGAAAGGCATCGTACGTCTCGAATGTCTCCTGATTCAAGTCACATCCTCTGTCTCTTAGCATTTGGATCACTGTGTTTCGTGCCAGAAACAGCTCGCGCATATTCAAATCAGCCATGGGCACAAAATAGAACAAAATAAAAGTGGAACCAGCAGGGATTGAACCCGCGACCCTTTGCTTGCAAAGCAAACGCTCTACCACTGAGCTATGACCCCAATATTAAAACACGTTCCCCTATATAACGACTTATGTTCATCGAGACATGCTCATGAATCCCAGTATCATCAATGAGCCCATGGCAATAATCAAACCAACTGCCATCCACATTCTCCTATTGAACGTATTTCTGTTCCCATATTCCAATTCATCCTGCATATTCCACTCATCCAATATTTTCTGATTGTAATCCCTGATTCTCTTCTTTAGCCTCCTTCGCTCCTTGCTCCTCTTCTCTTTTCTCTTATCGTTTACGACAACGCTTATTGTGATCTCTTTGTTTCTCCTAAATCCAACACCATTCTGTTTATTCTGGATATCCCGAATTATCCCATTCAGTTCATCGACCAATTCGTTTGGAATCAGACTAGGCCTGACACAATCCACCTCTACTACGTCATCAATTGCATTCAACTCCATGGATGACTCCGTTTCACTCTTCTTCTTGTATATTTTATGCATGGGGTAGTTGACAAACAAAGAGTAACCTGACACGAACAAATTCCTAATTTATAAATCCACTCTCGTGGCAAATGACCTCCTTGCACTCGTAAATCGTCTTAATCGTCTTCTTGGCCTCCTCGTTCTCCACTGCCACGCTCTGGACCTTGTACATCTTCCCATTTTCATCCTTTCTGAATGTCCCCACTCTTCCCACGTCAATCAGTTTCAGGTCTCTCAGGTCCTTCACTATCTTCTGGGCGTACCTCTCACTGATTCCAAATCTGTTTGAAACCGTCTTAGCCAACCTCGTTACTGAATTGGCCTCGTATGTCTCATTGTACAGGAAGTCAATTATTCTCCTGGTAAATGCCTTATTTCTTTCAGCATAACTGTGCATTCCAGTACAAAATAAACAGATGTATTTTATGTTGGCTACTCTCGGATCCATGTTGCTGAAGAAGCCAGCACAGACAGTATGAGACCAGCAGAAGCATCTTGTACACTCAATCATATCCCCATCATCCTCATTTACGGTACAAGTACAGTTTATCATTGTAGTCTTCTCAGGTACCACCACATTCTCAGCTGGAATCACACGCCTGCTTTCTCCACCCCCTCTCTTCAAGTCTATCACACTTATTGCACCACTCTGCACCCTCCTACCATCTCCAATCTTCCACATTTCCTTACACTTTAAGAAGTACTTGTTTATTCCCAATTCATAAGAATAAACTCTAATTTTTGATTTCAGTCCTCCCAGAATGTTCATCTCCTGTAGTGCCGTACAGAGTTCAGTGTAATTAAAACACGTTCGTGACAAATCAAGCTGCATTACAAACTCCAGTGACGCATTCTCAGCCCCACCCTCTTCAATTCTGAAGAATCCCATTTGAATCAGCTGAATTCTCTTAATTCTCGTTTCAATAACCCGTATTACTTGAAACAGGAGACTGCTCTCCTTGGTATTAACCAGTTTAATTGTTGAAATAGTCGAGTTGTTCTGCTCCACATCCTCTTCAGCACCATCACCATTCAATAAGTCATTTTTAATAAGTGATGTTTCAACTTCTGTCTTTGTATACTCATTCTCACCAAATAAGTTGCTCAGGTAGCACCCAATTGAGAAGAATGTCTCAACCAATTTGGTCTTAGTCTGCTTTATTATACACGACATAATGAGGATGCACAATAAGGCTAATTAAAATTGGGTGACTAAATTAAAATGTTGTACTCTCCTACCACAGTACGAATTGACTGATGAGAACTGCAAGGAGCATCAAACTGCATTTGAATGAAATAGACAGTTTTAGTAGAATATTTTATGGTTTCATTTTTCTATTTTACGGTTGTGAGAGGGATAGAGTGCTAATCTTGCTGCTAGACAGCAACGATATACCCTATTCCACCTGTTCTTCCTATTTCAGCTACCTCTTCTCTTTTGTTTATTTTTACCCTATGATTTCATTCGCCTTTGTTACCTCTGGCAAGGCCTACCTAATCAGCCAAACTACGCTTACAAACAGCATAATGCGCATTAAAGACAGTAAGGAAGAAGTAGTAGAGGTAAATGGCACTCGTGCATTCATTTCTGGAAACCAAGGAGAGACCTACAGACTCAGAATGGAGCTACAGGAAGGCGTAGAATACGTCAGACGAGTGTTCAAGAAGGAAATGAATACGCGAAACATCGCCAACCTGTTCAAGAACACCATTTACGACAAAATTAGAACGAGAATGCCTTACCAGGTGAGTGGCGTCTTCGTAGGACACGACGAGACTGGGGCAATGAGACTCTTTCACGTGGACAACTACTCCGCCGTGAATGAGACGCACTTTGTGGCCACGAACTACGGCATCTACTTCCTCTACGGACTGGCTGACGTCTTCCACAAGGCGGAAATGGAGCACGAGGAGGCAATTGAGTTCATAAACCACGCACTGAAGGCACTGAAGGAGAGGACTGCAATTGACACCCGGAGCTGGAGACTGGACGTGGTGAAGGAGTCCCTAAAGGTTGAAACACAGTACATTGAAATATAGGCGACTAGGAAGTTATTACAGTAAACAAGGCTAATTACAGTATTCTTTAAATCTTACCCTTTTTCACGCGAGTGAACATGTTGAGTCCGAATCCAACGAACCACAACGCAACCAGAACAATCAGCCACTTCGTGTACTCCTCTGGGTACTCCATCTCGTTCTCCGTATACTCCACCGTGTTTATCCACATCTCATTCAGGTAGTCCTTCTGGTTTGCCAGAATTGCAGCAAGACACATTCCGTAGAATGCGCCTATGAATCCAAAGAGGGCGGCCACTGCCGCATCCACCAGAAATGAGACGAAATAGAAGAGAACAAATGAGACCAGAATTGTGAGCCCCAGAATCAGGTAGGCCCCTGCTTCCTGGTCACTAAAATGCATAACATATAATGCCCTTGCCCCTGCTGCCACCAGAAGAAGGAGAACCAGTGGAACCAGTGACTCAACTAGCCACATTGCGACCATAGAGACGGCCACGTAGCCCAGGAAGATGAACAGCTCCCTCCTTCCGCCCTCTTCCTCCTTCTTCTCCGCCTTCTTCTTCTTCTTCTTCTTCATCTTCTGCCTGACGGCGTCGCTTATTCTCTCGTTTCCCTTAAAAATGCCCTCTTCCCCCAAAACTGACTGAATTGTCTTCACGTAGAACTGCCCTGGATCGTACGCCTCCTTGAAGTCGCCTCCTCTCACGCCATTTGCCTTCTCGTCCACGAATGCTGCTATTGACGAATGGAGGTTGTAGAGCACCAGTCCCATTATTATGGCTGCATTCACCCTCTTGAACCGTAGTCCAATACAAAACAGGTTCAGTAGAAATGCGACTGATAGAACCAGACAGCCTATGCTGAATACTCTCTCTGCCTCGGTTGATACGCCCTCGTAGGCTGCCTGCCAGCAGCCAAAGAGCAGCCCTGTCTCTTTGACGGTGTGTTCTGTGAACTTCTCCAGTGACTGAATCAGGTTGTGCTTGATTGACATAAAGGAGAGAAGAAGTCACTGTCTTAATTAATCAAAAGAAAGGGGTGTAACTGTATATTGTAATAAAAGAAGTTAATCGTAGTAGATAGGGGCTAGTTTATTTTATACTAATTTAATCCAACCTACTATTTTATACTATATAAATTCAGCCTACTATTTTATACTAACTCAACTTACTAACCCAACTTATCAGTTCAACCTTGCTATCTCATCCATCAGGTTGCTACGTTTCTCAACCAATTCACCTCGAACTGCCTCTACCTCCCCGTACATCTCCTCAATCGCATCCATCTTCAACTCGATCTTCTTTATCCACGCATCCAACTTCACCTCCTGCAACCTGCCTATCTTCCTCCTCTTCAGCTCCACCCTCCTCTTTGCCTCTTCCACTGCCACCGCAATCAGGTGCTCAGCACACTCTGCCTCCCTCTCCTTCTTCTGCATCACCCGTAGAAACTCACCAGCAACTGCTGCACTGATTGCCCCATCCAACATGCTGAAGAAGGCAACCAGGGCAGTCGTCTGGTTCTCGAACTTGCTGAATGGAAGTGTCTCGTACTCCTCAATTCGCTCCAGAATGCCCTGGTTGATGAAGTGGAAGATGCACATCTCCTTGCTCTTCCTTCTTCCACTTCCACTCCTCTCATTCACCATCTCAGCCACGCTCTCCCAGCTGTCCCTGTGCTCCTCAATTCCCCTAAGCAGCCAGTACTCCTCCTTCTTGTCCCAGAGGGCAGCAGCCAGCTCACCAGTGATTCGGTGGTGCCTCGCATCCTCGCCCCTGCATTCTTCACAGCTGAATTCAAATCCACTTGTGAAGTATTCAGCCTGTTTATTGCATTCACCACATTTAGCACCAATAAATGAAGTAGGGTCAGTGTACTTCTCAGTCAGATAAGTGTATTCAGTGGTGTTAATAATATTACTGTTGTTGTTATGGTTGTTACTGTAGTTGTTATTGTTGTTACTACTGTTACCATTACTACTGTTGTTACTACTACCATTAGTTTCAATAGTGAAGAGCTGTTCAGTTATGCCTGAATATGTCGTATTAATCAGCCTTAGTTCCTCACACACATTGAATACACCCAGAATACTGTCAAATAACCCAATTTCGTATTCTACAGCAAATAGACCGTATACTTCTCCAACTCCAATATTCCTCCTCTTATTCTGGTAGAAATCAACTATTCTGTTTCTTACTGTGATATCAACCCCTCTTTCGTGCTCACTCAGTGAGTCCCTCTTGAACCACTCTGGTACTGCGCCTATGAAGATGGCATCACCCGTCTCAGAAGGCGGACTGGTCGATTCATGGGCCACCCGCACTGGTGCCCGTGCAACACTCCTGGAACTGCCTATGATCGGCTCCAGTTCCACTCTCTCTGCCCTTGGATAGATATTCGTCATTTCAGATTTCACTTTCATTTTCATCGCAGTTCTGGGTGAAAAATAATTCAACTGAAAAGTGCCTACATTATTTACCTTTGTTATTTACCTTTGTTATTTGCCTATATTATTTGCCTATTATTACAACCTACTACTACTACAACCTACTATTACACCTATTACCCTACTGAATTATTTATTTACCCAAACAAACACGATCACCAAACATTTCCAGTATACCCAATCAGACCTGAAATGCTGTAGTACAGTTTATCGTACTCCAATCATTACCTAACAAATAATCAATTTAATCTACCCATAATGTGTGGAATATTCGGAATCATCACGAGCAACAGCCCAGGGGAAGTGATCCACCAGGGTCTCGGCGTCATGCAGAGTCTCGGATACAGGGGATACGAGTCATCCGGAATTCTGGTCTTCAACGAAACCAGATCATTTTTGCACCGTGAATTGGCACTGATCAAGGAGGAATCAGTTCCAACTGATGGAATGGAAGAGTGGCTGGAAGAGGAGCGAGGGAAGACGACTCTTCTGCTCCACACCCGCTGGATGACCCACGGGAAGAAGGAGATCGTAAACAGCCACCCTCATCGCAGTGGAACCGTCTACGTCGTCCACAACGGAAACGTGGACAACTTCGAGGCGCTGAAGGAGGAGCTCAGCCCAGGACACTCCTTCGCCAGTGCCACTGACACCGAGGTGATTCTCGCCTTGGCCAATTTGCTCCTGAAAGAGGGAGTGGAATGGGGCTGTCTCGGATCGAGGCTGATTGGCCGCCTTCAGGGCGAATACGCCTTTGTTCTGGCTGACACCGATAGAACGAATGGGATGGTTGTGGTCAGAAATGGACTGGGAGTGGCAATGGCATTTTCAGACGACATCGTCGTAGAGGAAAACAGAATCAGGGCCAGCACAATTCAGGTCTGCAGTGACGCATCGAACATCTTCGACAAGGAGTATCCGGCAGTGAACAGGCTATTTCAGCTCGAAGACGGTGAAATTGTGACAGTTGAAAATGGGGTAGCAACTGTGACCAGAGTTGGAGACGAGGCAGTTGGTGACGTATTGGAGAGAATTGGGCTGGAAACGAATCTGCCTGACAGAAAGGCAGTTTACGGCAAATACAGTCACATGATGGAGAAGGAGATCAACGACCAGGCTGAATTGGTGAAAATGGCAACAGAAGGGCGAATTGATGAAAGAGGGGAAGTGGTTCTGGAGAACTCGAATTTGGGTGAGAAAAACAGGGCTACAAAACGAGGGGGAGTCAGGTACCTGAATGAGGACGAGTTGAGGGCGGTGATGGAGAAGTGCACCAGAATGCGTCTCGTTGCCTGTGGTACGTCGTATCACGCCTGTCTCGCAGTAGAGCGGACCCTGAACAGCCTTCTGAAGAAGGACATTTCAGTCGCAGTTGCAACTGATCAGACTGATTCTGGGGCAGTGATCAACAAGGATGACGTGGTGGTGCTGGTGAGCCAGTCTGGCGAGACACTCGACGTGATTGAGATCATGAACAAGGCGAGGGAGGCAGGGGCGACAGTGGTGGCATTCACAAACTCACCAGGCAGCATGATTGCAACTGGATCCAACTACAACATCGATCTGCGGGCTGGAAGAGAGGAGGCAGTGGCATCGACCAAGGCGTACACGGTGCAGGTGTTGACGATGACACTCTTTGGAATCCAGTTTGGGGGGAGTCAGGGAGAAAGAGGGCCATTCTGGATGAGTTGCTTGTTTTGCCTGAAAAAATAAGAGAGACCCTGGGATTGAACTGCTCTGAGATCGTGAACGGGCTCGATGGGGCCACGAACCTGCTTGTGGTTGGAAGAGGGTACAACAGGGCGACTGCCCTTGAGACGGCACTGAAAATATCGGAAATCAACTACATCCACGCCAAGGGCGTGATGGCAGGGGAGTTGAAGCACGGGACACTTGCACTGGTTGAGGAGGAGACGAAGATGCTCTTTGTTGGCGTAGGAGACGAAGATGACACGAGCAACAAGGCGGCTCTCAACCAGATCATATCGCATAATGGAACACCGATTGTGATTGGGACAGCTGCCCTGACAGACTGGGCCAGTGGCCACGGTCTGAGGACGGTGACTATCCCTGAGACTGTTCCTGAGTTACAGAACATCCTGAATATCATTCCTATGCAAATTGCAGCCTATCGAATAGCAGTCAATATTGGCATAAATCCAGATAAGCCAAGGAATCTGGCTAAGTCAGTTACAGTGAAATAAATGTGTGCTAACAGTAGTAATAGGGGTAGTTAGGGTGGTAAGAATAATCATAACTACCCCTACTAAATACGCAACTAATATGGTCATTCTTACTACCATAACTACCCCTATTAAATATGTAACTAACTACCCTACTAAATACCACCCCAATGATTAGTTCAATGGGTTTCCTATCTAAACAAACCGTAGTGACCTACAACGAGTTCAAGGTGCTGAATGAGTTCAACAGGGCAAAGTACACGGTACCAGGGGCAGAGTACAGGGAGCCAGGGGATGAGGTGGAATTGGAGGAGCCAGTTGGTGAAGATGAGACCAGGATATTTGCAACAGTGAACAGGGACGACTTCTCCTGTTTGGCCCATTTTGCCAGCAATGGCGAGGCAGTCTACTGCAACCACGATCTGTTTGTGCCAAATACGGTGATAAACGGGTGTAGAATCGAAGTAGGAGGAAGAGAGGCAGTGGCATTGGGCACGTTTGACGAGGGTGTCTTGGTCTACGATCCACTGGTGGAATTCTCACCGTATCCAATTGCGGTGCTATCAGGTCACAGGGAAACAGTCTCATTCGTCTGCAGCGATGGGGAACTGCTCTATTCGGCAGCAGGAAGAGAGATCATTCGATGGGATTTGGGGAGGATGGAGGCAGGTGACCGATTTGATACCGGAATTGACGTAGAGAGGGTGGTGGCAGATGGAAGAATGCTCTACTACTCAGAGGGAGACACTGTCATTGCATACGATACGAGTTCACCAGGTGATTACGTCACAATCAACTCGATTGGATCAGTTGAATCATTTTGTATCAGTGGCCGTAATCTGTTTGTAGGAAACTCAGAAGGAGGCGTAGAGTGCTTTGATTTGAGGGAGACCAGGCAGAAGAGGACGATGGTGGTTGGAGACGGGGCAGTTCGTGCGATTCAGAGGCGAGGAGGCGATGACGAGGCTGTTTCGGTCGTGGTTGGGAGGAGTCTGAAGACTCTCAGGGAACTTGCTGTGGTGGGGGAGTTTGGGCTGAGTGGCCTGGGATGCGCCTTGATCGACGATGGGGCGACTCTTTTTGTTGGAACCGAAGATGACAAAATTGACGTATTCACCCTGAAAGAGTGAGAATCTGCTACTCCTTGCATTTTGATTTGAAGCCCCTTTGAAAATGGTGAAGAAAGTGACGAAGCAGAAAAGTGTGGCACTGAAAATAGGCAGGTCAAATGCAGTTGTAGGCGCATTCAAGGCGCTCTTTAGGGCAATCTGCATCGAATACCTCGATCCAGTGCAGGTGACCTGTTCGTATGGAACTGGTATCGTGATGTACGTGATTCTAGTTGTGGTGGCATATCCAGTCAGGCTGCTAGGCGTAATGATAAACATCCTGTTCAACAGAAAGGGAAAAGAGCCATTCTTCCTCCCAAAAGAGACCCTGATATCCCATGGAATTTGTGTGGCCGCATACACCATTACGCTTATTGTAAGCATGTTCATGTTTGGAACATACTTCAAGTCGAAGAAGTACGACTACTTCTTATCACTGCTGGTCTCATCGTGTGTCTACGTCCCACTCATCAGTCTGGTTCAGTTTCACAAGGCAATACGAGTCCTGGCATCCATGTTGGTCTCATTCATCATGCAATACTACATTGGACAGTCTCTCCAGCACTACATCTACACGCCTAAGGACGACAAGGAGCGACAGCTGACGTTTCTGCTTGTATTGGCCATCTCGTTCCTGTTGGCCGTGATGCTCGTTGCCATTGTCTGATGATTCAATAAATCGTAGTCTTATTTCAGTGCATAAACCATCATATTTTTCAACAAACAAATTCCCAATAAACAAACATGGTAAAACAGGCATCACGGACAGAAGTAGCAAGAACCAACCCAAGGGCCGTGGAGTCGAGAAACGGCCTATTTCGGTCGTATATGCGCATATGGGGGTCAGCCCTGACAATCAGGCCTCTTTCGGAGCAGAATGTCGATAACCCGCTAGCGTGTCTGATTCTGTTTGTTCTTACGCTTGGGATCCTCCAGGGACTGGCTCTCTGGTGCTCCATGCTTGGATTCGATGGAAGTGGCCTTGGTTTGGGAGAGACCTTTGCCAAGTTTGGGGTGATGTACCTCATTTTCCTTACGGCTGCCTTTGGTTTCAGTCTGATTTTCACAGCTTGGATTGGAAAGGGCTTCAAGTCGTTTACGGTGCTCGTATTCGTCTCAACCTGTGCCTGGGCCCCACTAATCGCCCTTCTTCGATTCATTCCATACGTTAAGGAGGCCATGACACTTGGTGCCTTCTTCATAATGGGCTACTACTGCACGGAGTCACTTGGAACAGAATACAGGCCAGCTGATCAGAGGGAATCAGTGATTCAAAGTGCCATTGGCTTCATAGGCGTATTGGTGCTATATGCAATACTGATTGTCTGATATAACAGTAAACATCACAGAAATTAGGTGATTTTGATTCTTGAAAATATGCTCCTATTGATATCACAGAATATCGTATTGATTCCAAGGTGAATCAGAATACTAAGAATTGTGTTGAGTACGGTGACTGTATTGGTGCATGATTCCATATTCTGGGCTACTAGAAATGATGCTAGGGATGCACTGGTGAAAATGGCTGTTTGGGGTGGAACCAAAATGAATTCACTGGGCAACTTGGCCATTGGGTAGAATGAGAATGACAGAAGGGTGGCTACGAATAAATTGGTTGAATTCTGCTTTCTGGGCGCATATGCTGCTTTCATGAACAGGCTGTAGGCTACAAATGCAGTTCCAAGCACCAGGTAGTTGATTCCTTGTGCCTTCCAATTATTATGGTAATTTGCATCAAATAACAGAGATGTGAGTTGCTGGACTGCTACGTAGTGGAGAAGGACGAATGCGACTAGTTGAGGAGTAGAATACCTGTTCGTACTCCCCTGTTTCAATCTGTTGAGCTGCATGGCGTCAGAGTACCATTTTAGTATTCTCATTTTCTGGGGCTCTTTTTACCCTACAAAATGAACTATAAATTCTATGGGGAGAATAGTGCACTATTTCTACAGTACTTGACTGCAACTGCTGTAGTCTCATACAAGTTGTCTCAGAAGAAGGAGACCGATGCGTCATTTCGGGTGTTCATCAACGGCAGAGACAGCACAGACGCATTCGAATTCTACGCCATTTCATTGCAGAATGAGGTTATGAATTGCCAGATATTCGTAGAGACACTCTCGGAGCAGACGACTGAGTTGTACGAGATTGTGATAAAGGGAATAGGAATGCTACTCCATAGAAGTGGACTGGTGCCCAGGGAAGCTGTCTTCTTTGCGATCTACAAAAATGGGCTATTTCTGGTACTGAATTCACAGGGTGAAGTTGTAAAATGCATTTCAGGGGGAGAGAAGCAGCCTGTGGAATTCAGGGAGGAATTGGATGAGTTTTATGCACAAATAGTTTAGAAGTACGAAATACCTTTTTATTCCTAATCAACCTACTTCTTACTCAATCTTGTACAACTTGACCAGAATGCGCTGGCCCTGGGCCTTTGGATTCAGGTTCCTCTCAAAGGTGGCCCTGACTGCGCCCTTGTTTCCGTGAACCGCCTTGATGAATCCGTGGATGTTGACTACATCGCCCTCTGGCCTGGTATACGTGAATAGCACGCCATTGCGAACATATTTCTGTGCTGTCTCCCTGTCGTAGACGCTGTCGATTGTGAGAATCGCCTGCTTTGGATGAAGTCTCCTCTGTCCTCGTCTGTGTGACACGAACGTACCCAAAATGTGAATCGATTCCAGTTCAGTTGACATTCAGGGTAAAATTTGATAAGAATATTTTACTAGGGCACAAACCCATGGACCACGCTGTACAGGTTGACAACGGCATCCTGCTCGTTGCAACAGTCCCCTGTCTCCGTCTCTTCCTCCACGTCATTCTCCAGAATGAACTCCTTGCACGTCCTAATTCCTTTCTTAAAGACTGCCAAATTCACGTTGGACTCTTTTTTGTAGGGCTTTAGGTTGAAATAGGCGAATACAAAGCACTTGGAGTAGAGTTCCAGCATGTTCTCGTCCAAGTACTGCAAATTTGCCAAATATTTTGAGTAAAAGAGTTTGAAGTGCTTTGAGATGGCTGCTGCCCTGAGATTCCTCTCTTCCAGCACCAGTTTCACGTGCTTCTCACTGAATTGTACGACATTCTCTCTCTTCCTTGCCACATTCTTCCTCGTAGTTGGCTTCTTTCTCATGGGCTCTTTTGACTCGCACAATTCAAACCAAATGCGTACCACCGTCTTCCTAGTCCACCAGTCTCTCTCCATCCATTCATTGGTCTCCCAAATCCACCATTTGCTGGCACTGAAATAAAATTTTAGTGGCCCAGCCCATGAAAAAAGAAGATGGCGTCCTGAAAGAGAAGCAGCCTGAGACAGAGAAGAAGAATGCGCTCTTTGATCTGGTATTCAGGACGGAGGAGAAGGAGAGCCAGCCTCCGCAGCCCAAGAACGACCTGCTCCTCTACCTTAAGAATATACTTGGATACAAAATAACTCTCCTGAAAGATAACACATTTATGCTTACATCAATCTATGCATTCACTAAAGACGACTATTTTTGCGTAGAAGTCAAAAACAGTCGCATGTCGTTCCTGAGCACGCCGTTCCTGAGGCAGTGGAAGGAGCACTACGTGAAGTACGTGACGGATGGGTCGTCGATATCTGCGTTTCTGGCTGCTGTAAACCTGGAACTGTTCAACATGAAGACGAGTGACTTCTATAACGGCACTGTTCAAAGACGATTTGGATACGATAAGGAACAGGGTGATGGTGATTATTAGGTGGTATTATTAGTAATATTAATAAGTAGAGTATTTATTTAGTAAAGTAGCTACCTGTACTAACTACTCCACTTTCAATTCACCTTTTGAATTAGTTCAATTAGTTTGTTTATGCTTACATCTACGAACAAATTCTCTTCCTCAGGCACTTTCGGCAACTTCTTGAGAATCCTCCTGATGTCAATCTGGCCCTTAAATGTCAGATCGAGATACTCGAATGACCCCATGCAGCTGCTCACAACCCCCTGTGTCCCTGCTGCCCTGCTTCCTGCTCTTCCGCCCTCGTTTCTCTCCAGCATCTCCCTGTTCTTCAATGCCTCCTGCTTCCTCAATAGCAGCTCCTTGTACCTCACGAACGATCCTCGCCTGAACTCGTAGTCCAGCATCATGTCGTACATCTTCTCTGTCTTCGCCAGCTTCCTGAAGAAGACAGTCAGGTTGTCTGCGTCATTGTTTCGAATAAGCAGCTCCAGAAACTTCTCGTTCAGCAAGCTGTTGTCTCCAAACTTCTCGTGCGCCTTCACCATGATCTCATACGCCCTCCTGCTCTCGATTGGATGCTCTGTCTCTGCTGCGAAGATGTGGAGATGCGGCGTCACTGCCTCTGGGAACGTGGCGCAAATTCGATCGAATTCGGCCCTGAAGGTGGCCAGCCCCTGGAACTGAATTTGGTAGTTGAGGAAGTTGACTGCTGTCAGGGCGAAATGGGCCTTCTCCTTCAAATTGAAGAAGTCGGCCTTGTAGTTGAAGGAGAACCAGTAGGAGAGGAGGACGGAGGAGGAAGCAAGGCGCCTCAGGCGCCCTGCGTCTCCGACTGGGTCGTAGCAGTCTTCGACGTAGATGGTCTTGAGCACCTCGAGGGCCTCTGTGCTTGCGACTCGCCCCTCGAAGTACGAGAAGACCGCAAGAAGGCGGCTTCTGTGCTCCTTCTTCGGCAGCTTCAGCAGGTTCTCCACCTCAACGTCCAGGACGCCGAAATAGGCGTCCTTTTGGATTCCAGTCGCCATTTTCTGGTAGACGCTCAGCGCGTTCAGGTAGAACGGCTGGTGCTGCTCCAGGATGCTCTTTGCGCTCATCCTGTTCACCGATATCTCCCACGCCTCGTAGCTCGCCCAGAGCTGCGACAGCCTCGCCATTGGAATTCGGAGAAATTGCTGGTAAATTCGCCTGATTTTCTCGTTCTTGCTGCTTTCAGCCAGGTCGCCCTTCTCAAGCTCGTCGACGGCCTCCGTGATGAACTCGTAGTTGTCGTATCCGTGCTCAAAGTGGTTCAGCACGAAGTAGAACACGTCCAGCACCTGCTCGCTCTTCAGATCAAGTCTCCTCGTGTACGACAGGTAGAGTCTCCAGAGTCGGTAGTCGTATGATGATTTAAGATACTTGCTGAACACTTTTTCGAGATTTAAATTATCTTTTTTATTAAACAGCTCCGTCGCTGTGGCGTACACCTCGTCAGCGGGAACCACGGTCTCGGTTGTGCTTGGCTCAGACATGGCCAAAAAATTGGAGGAAATTCTGGCCACCGTCTCAACCGCCTTATTTGTCTTGATCCGCCATTTATCGGCTTAATAGCTCAGTGGCAGAGCACCGGTTTTGTAAACCGACGGCCGGGGGTTCAAATCCCTCTTAAGCCTTTTTTCTCTTTTTCCTTTGTTTCCACACCCTTCCACATGGCCAAGCGATCCGACGTATTCAAACACACCTTCAGGCTGAAGAAGGAGACGTCACCGGAGTTCGAGAGCGCAGTCGCGGGGCTGCGGGCAGAGGGCAGGGCGCAGCCAGGCCGCTTCAGACTCCACCTCCGCGACCACGTCTTCTGCATCGAGTTCATGTCGAAACAGTACAGGGAAAGCCCATTCCAGGTCGACGTCCTCTTCGCCCAGGCGGAGAAGGAGCACGAGATGGCCTTCTCCTTCGACTTCTCCACCTTCAGCAACACCTTCTACTTCGATTTGAAGAAGACGAACAAATTCGACACAAACAAAGAATTAAGCATAACCATATGCATAAACAAGACTAATCCAACAAACTGCTTCTGTGGCCTGGTGAACCTGGGGGCGACCTGCTACATCAACTCGCTGCTTCAGACGATGCGCTACATGTTCCACTTCCAGAAGGAGCTCTTTGAGGCCGAAGACGGCTTCTACACCACGAACCTGAAGCGCCTCTTCTACCAGATGTCCACGAACCCGTCTGGCGCCGAAAGGACGCTCTCGTCGCACTTCGTGCACAACCTGCCCTTTGTTGCCTCTGTTTCCGAGCACCAGGACGTCCACGAGTTCTCGAAGCTGCTCTTTGACCGCCTCGAGGCGGAGAACAAGAGCGTCATCAAAAACAACTTCGAAGGTGCCCATAAAATCGTGTTTTCCTGCGACTGCGGCTGCACCGTTGAAAAAGAGGAGTCGTTTCAGGACATTTCGTTGCAGATGAATCGGAGCCAGAGCCTGGCTGAGTCGATGGCCGCCTTCTTCGAGGACGAGGCCATCGACGAGTTCCGCTGCGAGACGCACGGGGCGACGGCGGCGACGAAGTCGACGCGTGTCCACCGCGGCCCCCGCTACCTGCTCGTCCTGGTCGGCCGCTTCTCGTTCGACTGGGAGTCGAATTCGCCCCTGAAAAACAACGGCCACTTTTCGTATCCGCCTGAACTCGACCTGGGCGCCTTCTGCGCCGATTCGGCGGCCTCTGAGCGCTACGCGCTGCTGAGCACCGTCGTGCACGCTGGCAGTGCCAGCCAGGGCCACTTCTACGCGTTCGTGCGAATTGGAGGCCGCTTCTACAAATTCAACGACGAGGCCGTGACGGAGGCGACTGAGGAGGAGGCCGTCGACTGGAACTTCGGTGGCGAAAACGCCTTCACGGGCAGAACGAAGAAGTTCAGTGCCTACTGCCTCGTTTACGAAAAGAAGGCAGATTACGAAAATAAGGCAGAATCAGGCGGAATCTTCTTCCTCGAAAATGTCCCAGAGGCATTGACGAGGGAGCCAGTGACTGAGACAGTCGCAGTCCTCGACAGCCGCTTTCTCTCAGGCGCATTCTGCCCTGGCGCCTACGCCACCGGCGCAGACTACGCGGCCAGGAGGCCACAGACGGTGGAGCTGTCGCAGTTCGACAGCCTCCCATCACTGATCAGAGACAAAGACGCCTACCAAATGCAAAATGGTCGATTTGAGAAGGTGACCAAAAACATAGGCGGAACAGCCCCCCTTGTTCTGGTCGAAAAGGGCCCAGGCACCTTCGTCATTTTGAAGACGTTTCAGGAGACGCCGTCTTGTTCGACCTGCCCAGAGAAGTTGAAGACGGTCGGAGCCACCCGAATCAGGCGACTCGAGGAAATCACAGGGGTGGAAGAGGGAATAGGCGCATTCAGGGAACAGGCTGACGGAGTCGAGAGAATCGAGAGATTCGATGACGTCAGAGAGGGCGACGTCCTCGTCGCCACCGCCTGCGACGGCAGTCTCCTCGGCGACTACGTCGAATTCCTCAGAAAACGAAGGTGCCTCTTCGTCCAAGTCGGCGACCAGCAGCTGCCCCTCTTTGCAGAGAGGCAGCTTGGCCAGGCCGAGCTGGCCCAGGAGATCCAGCGCACCTTCCTCTCTCCCCTTCCTCTGCTTTCTGGTGGCGTAGCCACTGGCAACCTCCTTCGAGTCGAATTCGACGAGCCAGTCAACGTCTTCTACGTTGGCTCCCTCTTCGGCCGCCTCAATGTCGGTGCAATTCCACACGTTCATCCTTTCGTCCTTCCTGCAGCTGCAACTCGGGCTGACTTCGTCAGACTCCTTCGTCGCAGCACCCACCCCTGTTTGAGAGGCGTCTACGGCCTCGATTCCATTTCGGTGATGCAGACGCACAGGCAGGTGCCAGCTGTGACCGTGGTGGAGAATGAGACCGATCTGATGCCAGTTGGTGGGCTGATTGTGGTCAGAGAGAGGCTGACTGATCCACTGGTGGTCTGTTTCATTGATTCATTCAGAAACATCGTTGATTACCCAATTGTGGTGGAGAGGGTGAAGACAGTTGCAGAATTCAGGAGGAAATACATGGTACTGGGAAGAATATTCAGGAAAGGAGGAGTTGGAGATGAGTGTGTAGAATGTGGGGATGATGAGATGGTTGATATGGGAGAAAAAGGATATTTATTAGTGGAGCAGTAGAGTGGTAGTAGTGGTAGGTAGTTAGTCTGATATGGTTAATTGCCCTNAGTTGGTGGGCTGATTGTGGTCAGAGAGAGGCTGACTGATCCACTGGTGGTCTGTTTCATTGATTCATTCAGAAACATCGTTGATTACCCAATTGTGGTGGAGAGGGTGAAGACAGTTGCAGAATTCAGGAGGAAATACATGGTACTGGGAAGAATATTCAGGAAAGGAGGAGTTGGAGATGAGTGTGTAGAATGTGGGGATGATGAGATGGTTGATATGGGAGAAAAAGGATATTTATTAGTGGAGCAGTAGAGTGGTAGTAGTGGTAGGTAGTTAGTCTGATATGGTTAATTGCCCTGATATAGTTAATTGCCCTATTATACTGATACACTCCACTGTAGCAACACCTCCATTTCATAGGCTGCCTTCTATTTGTTTTTCTTATTGTTTTCTACCTCCTCTTTCATGAATAGTAATGGATTCAGGAGAATGTGCGTGGATGAGATAAGGAGAGCAGACAACGTGGCTGTTCTGGAGGAGTGTACCGACTTCTACTCCTTCGTGATGGAGCAGGCGAGGGTGGCCACCAGAATATGCATCTGCTGTCTGGCACTGGGGTGCGACGAGAAGACGGAGGAATTGGCCAGAATTCTGGGGCGGCGGNGTTAATTGCCCTATTATACTGATACACTCCACTGTAGCAACACCTCCATTTCATAGGCTGCCTTCTATTTGTTTTTCTTATTGTTTTCTACCTCCTCTTTCATGAATAGTAATGGATTCAGGAGAATGTGCGTGGATGAGATAAGGAGAGCAGACAACGTGGCTGTTCTGGAGGAGTGTACCGACTTCTACTCCTTCGTGATGGAGCAGGCGAGGGTGGCCACCAGAATATGCATCTGCTGTCTGGCACTGGGGTGCGACGAGAAGACGGAGGAATTGGCCAGAATTCTGGGGCGGCGGCTCAGGGAGGGGGTGGAGCTCGTGATTCTGGCCGACAAGACGAGGAACGAGGAGGACGAGGGGATTCTGGCGATGTTCTACAGGCACGGGCTGAGAGGGAGCATGAGACTGGTCGATGCTGAGACAAGCAGGTGGCTTCCAAATCTGGTGAATAACGCCCTGGGAGTCTATCACAGCAAACTGTACATCTTCGACGAGACCGTGTTGATGACAGGAGCAAACTTGTACGGGATTTACTACGAAAATAGGGCAGATCGATATTACGTCATAAAAAGTAGGGAATTGGCAGAATACTACTGCAAAATGGTAGTAGGAGAGGGGGTGTGGCACGATAGGGGTAGTTATGGTGGTCAGAGTGAGGGTAGTATGCGTGAAACAGGTGAAACTGCTATGGGAAAGTGGAACTCGATTAGTCTTGAAAACGTACAGTTTCAGGTGAGCACATTCAACCAGAAGAATGAGAAGGAGGTGCTGTTGAGGCTGTTTGAAACAGAGTACAGCGAAATGGCTGTTTCTACGGCCTACCTGAATATGCCAGGGGAGTATCTGGATGCATTGAGGACGAAGGAGTTCAAGCTGTTTGTACCAGCACCAGAGAACAACACTTTCAACACATTCGGGTTCTTTAATCAGGTGATTACGCAGGTGTATGCGTATACAAGTTATTATACAGCAAATAGACTACCAAAATGTGAGTTATACGAGTATACGAGACCAAATTACTCATTTCATAAGAAGGGGATATGGGTGTTCTATGAGAAATCAGCAATATCAGTGGTGGGGTCATCGAACTACAATTTACGAAGTAATCGATTGGATGAGGAGCAGAATTTCATGATGTTTACGGAAGATAAACGGATTATTGCGATGTGGAGGGAAGAAATAAGGAAATTGGAGGAGGATTGTAAGAAGAGAAGTGTAGAAGAGATGAGATACAGGTGCAAGTTATGGGTTATGCTGATATTTATTCTGGCGAATTTTCTATTTTAGAAATATTTGGTTATTGATTTGGGGGAAGTAAGAAATAAATGGAATTATACTGGTTTGGTTGAATATAGATTATAAAAGTAATAGATGAAGAATGTTACTATATTTATTGTAATGCGAAACTTCTGGGTTTAAAACTAGAAACATGTTGGTTGCAAGGAATGATTATAAAAACAAATAATAATGTGTCAGTTTACCTAGCCACTATACTGTTATAAAAGTTCATTTTGATAAGATTATTCTTTAAGGAGTTAGTATGTTATATGTTTCGGCTTCTATTTTCAAAAGAGAATAAAATTTAAGTAAAAACAAAAAGTTAATAATTACAACAAATAATATACTCCATCAAAATATAATTTGAAGTAAAACACCAATTAAATTAATGGCCAAACGAGCGAAAAAGTCTAAACAATACAATAATGCTTTAAATATATTTATTCCTTCAATTTTCAAATGATTTTTAAAAATAAATATGTGTTTATCTTACTAAAAAAATTAATATTTATCCAATATAAATGTGTAGACTTTATAGTATATTAATATGTAAAATAAACGTATATTAAATATATGAAATGAATAACACATTCCATATCTAAATAAATATTTACAACAGGAAATGCTTTTTATCGATTCAAAAATAATTTTACAAAAAGTATGGTAATAATAGGACTTTTAAATGTTATTAATAACCTTGTTAAATACAAATTTGATATTGTATTTAAATTTACTAATTCTTTATCAAAATATATAAAAACTAGAAATATACATTGTGTATAAAATTATTTAAATGCATTATTTTATACACAATGTATATATTTAGTTACTTCAATATGGTAAAATGCTTATATAGTTAGCTATATAAGTGTTTAAAACTTATAATGCTAAAAATTTAATTTTATAAGTCCATTTAATATTTGCACATTTCTCATACGCCTTTCATTTCTAAAGTATTGAAGAAAATATTAAATATGCGAGCATTTGAATAACTTTGTTTAGTTTAATCCATCAATATTTTTGTGTGTATATTATATTCTGCAGATCCCAAACTGTTTTCTTATACTTATTAATTAAAGTATGCATTAGACAGAAGCAATATAGCTAAAATTATTGCAGTTTATTAATAAACAAAAATCAATGACACATAAGATGTTGTTTTTAGGAGAAATATTCTGGTAATCTTTGCTGGCAATTCAATAATTATATTTCTTGTCATCGTCATCATCTTAATGTAATACTTTAGTCATATATACACACATATAATAAAAATTTTTATTATAAACAGTATGAATAAATACCACATGACTTATAATAAAAATATAAGCAAATACTTATATGTAATTAAATTCATTCTAAACTTCATTCTAACTAAATATAAAGAATGTAGTGATAATTCTGTATATCGTTACAAAGTATAGTAACAAACTTTAGTGAAAAAAATTAGCATGAAGTTTTCCGTCTTATATTAATTCATATTTGAATTTTTATTTATAAAATATAAAAATTAGCACTTTAATGCTACTAATTATTTATGTTTACTGAAATAATTTTACACTTTATAACAATATAATTAAAAATATTTTATACAGCAATATTTGCTGGCATTTCCATAGTCTTAATGACATAACAATAAAATTGGAAATAGAATAGTTTTTCGAACTTCTAACTTTTTATGAAATTAAAATATCAAGTTTTTTGTATGTTATCATTACGCTCTTAATACAAAATTTCACATGTTTAGTATATTTAGTATATTTAAATACAAAAATTTATTGATGATACAAGCATGAATTAAATATATTCGCTTCATCTGTTTAGTTTTTAGTATTATAAATAACTAATTTATATATAATTGAATTTGTTATAATATGATCATAAATTTTGGTTATATTAATGTTAAAGTATGGTTTTTCCGTTAGGATGTTTAAGACACAACTAAAACCACATTTGTATTATAACTAACTTTAACATCTAACAAAACTGCATTTTTGTAAAAACGTTTAAACAATGAAAGCTTTGAAGCGTATGCTAATTTAAATACATTCGTTTAGGGTATATGCGTATTAAACAAGATAATATTGTAAGCAAAGTTCATGCTTTTATATGTTCAAAAGGTAATTGATATGGACAAATTACATTACTTTATGATTAAATAGGAATACACTATTTGTTTTCGTAAAACATGTGATTTTTTAATTTACATAATTATTATATTGCATATATCAAATTAGCATGTATATTATTTATTTTTTACTACATTCTCTACAATAACCATTATATAAGTTTAGAGCAATATAGAATTCACTTTAAGTATACCATCAGGGTTTTTAAGTATTGTATTTCTGAAGTATTTAGTAAAATTCAATAATAATGTCAAAATCATTCCGTTTTGTATAGATATAAAATTGAATTTTTTGCCTTTAAACCTTTGTTATCTCTATTTATTATACCATTTTGTGCTAAAAATGAAAATAACACAATACACATTGATGTATTACTTTGATATTTTAACCAATGTCAACTATTCAAATAACGATTCAAATATTTTTATCTGATACAGATATATAGTGCCAATATAATATATTCAAATTGTTTAGTATGAAAATGTTCTTTCAGTAAACAATTTAATTACCTATATTTCTGAACTGGCATTTTTAACAACAGGTAGAATATTTATCTAAGTTTTGGTTCTAAAATTCTACAGAACTCCAAAGGAATCTTTTGTTTTTATCTCATTTATACAGAAATACAATAATTTAAACAGTATATGTAACCACTCTTCCTACTACAAAAAGTGTATTCAAAGCCCTATTTACATTAAAAATAGCTGTTATTATTTTAGTATCTATTAACTGTACACCTTCACATTCTGTCTTTCTTTATTTATGATGGAATATGATTCATTTTCTCAACCAGCCAAAGGTTTAATAAAATGTAAAGTTCGACACAGTTCCATTACTGTTCTAATATTGATTTCAATTATTTTTCATCAATAATGTATTCTTCTGTAGTAATCCCATCATTTTTAATTTTAAGCGTCTATTACATTGGTATAAAACATGTTCTTCCAGAGTCTATATATTAAAAAGTATAAATTACAATACAATAGACTTAAAATATTTTGTTAAACAGAAAAACGTTTTCATAAACTATTTGAAATAGCAACAATTGAATTCAAATGCCAATTCCATTTTAATAATTTCATGAAATTTAATGTATTTAGATATGGAAGAAGTGCATCTTAAATTAGATTATGTATTTTACAATAAAAGTTTCTCTATTTCATACCTGTTAAAATTTTACAAATTAGACAATAGATTTTGTACAGATCTTATTCAAGTCAAATATCATAATTAAAAATCATGATTTTCTTATTTTTTAAATGCTATTATCACTTTAATATGAACATGTGCAAATAGTATATAATCTTAGCAAAAAAACCTCTATAAAACACGTAATACAAAATTATTATTATAAATACATGTTTATTTACTATAAGTGTCGAAGAAAATATTTCAACAAATTTTGTCACGTCTAACCTGCTTTACTTGATAGTTTTTAAAAATAAAAAGTGTTATTAAATTTTTAAGTTTCTATAAATCATTAATTGCTCTTTTTGCATTTATATATTACTGTCTTTATTAACGTACAATCTTAGGAAAAACATTGCTCATTGTAATGTATATAACTACATTTATTTTTTATTAGCTTTATATAATCTTTATTGGTTAATTAGTTCAAAATAACATTATATTAATAAAAATCTAAAGTAGGTTATCCATTCCTAAAAAGCGGACAGTAAAAGTAGACTCATACCTCTATAAGTATGAGAAGACATAAACACTAATTTATATGATAGGTGAAAACTAAAGCTAGCTACATATATTTTTTGAGGCAATGCCATGGTTTTTTTTCTTGACTCAGCAAAAAGGATAATATCAGAGTAGAATAATTAAAGTCACCTAATCAATTTATTTTTCAATGCGTGAAATCTAAATTAAAGATAATATCATATACATTCGTTCATAATTATTACAATAAATAAGATAATAACAAAAAAATAATCTATGCTTATTCTTGAAAGTCTAAATGTATTAATATCATTTTAAAACAAAAACCATATAGGTGCATAATAGTCTTGTTCGTCTATATATTTAGTCAATAAAATTTTTAATGTAAACATGTTTTGTGTTAGAAGCTAAATATTTCAATTATTCTTAATAAATAGTAGTATCCCATACGTAAATGTAAATATAATTCCCCTAACATTTCTGACTTCGTAGATAAAAATATCCAAATATTATATACAATAATGTTTTTGGAAATTAATGTAGATTTTATTGTTTATAAAGTAAAAGTTGTGTGCTCATGTCATTTTTGTTTTGGAAACAATAAACGTGTAAACATTAGCCTATTAACACATATTGTTTTTAATGTTTGTATTGTAATTTGTAATAGTATAAGGCAATGTCAATAATTCACTTATATTTTCCAAAAATAATTCTTTATCACAGTATAACACAGATGTATATTAAACTCAATTGAGAATCTATTAAATTTCACTTAAACACATTCCTTCATATCTTGCATGAATGGTAAAACATTTTTTTAATTTTAATCTAATAACATTTGTCTGAATCTCATGATTAGGCAATCTACTTTATTAGAAACATATTATACAATAGTTAATGGGCGAATAATAACATATTTATTTATCAAATAAATACTAGAGTGTGTCACAGACTATTTTGCCTTTAAATATATCTATCAAGTATAAGAATGATGTCGTTTTAACGATAAACAAACAAGAAATTTATTTTAAATATAGAAACTATGTTGTAAGTTTTGCAAATCCAATATAAATTATACAACAAATACAAAAAAATAACCATATAATATTCGAACATTCAAGTTTTAACAAATTTAATTTATTATGAATTTTGAAGGAATTGCTTGTTGTTATAAATATAAATATGCAATGAATAAATTGTAATCTATCAATTTTTAACTGCGAAGAAGGCTAAGCAAATCTTTGATACAATGAAATTTGTGGATGATTTTTGATTCAGCAATATATGATATAAAAATTGCCATATAATGAAGTTTATAATTCTATTAAGTTGAAATATATATTGGTTTTTATAAGTGAAAAATAAAATATTCTATGATTATAATATATAAGAAAGATTATTTAATATGCTAAACAAAATCCTTGATTGTGATAGGTACTTCAGAGCCAAGATTGTTGTCAGCTATTTGAAATAGTAAAATCGATTTTATCAGTGCATTTATACACTATTATGATCAACAACACAAAAACTACTCTATAAAATCATATTTCATGTGACAATATACACACCATTCTTCTTATTGTGTTTTAACATGTTATAATAAAGAATTAAACAAGGTAATGTATACAATAATTGATTAAGATCATTATAAAACGTGTATAATTTGGTTCTTTTTTGAATAAATTGACAATATTTAGAACTTAAATTCATTTGTTTGCATTAAAAACAAACCCATGTGAATATATTGATGTCTATAATATTCACCAATTTGTGATTTACCTAGTATATGAAGATACAAGATAATCCTTTTAACCATAATCATACTATTGTAAAATGTAAATTTTAGTTTGTTTTTACAATCAGAATCACTCTACCCATTGCACGATAACGATGTTTTGAAAATCGTACTATGTAACATAAATAAGCTATGCGTTATATCAAATGTTATATATGTTTTTAAAACATGATTTTCTGTGTTAATATAATTCTTACAAAGAACTATTCAATTAATATATAATCAAATATATTACAATGTTGAATCCTATCATAATGTTATAACATTAAAAATAAACTCTAACTTTCAGTTAATTAAAGATAAACATGTATTTATAAATTCTCGTACTTTCTTATAAATATGATAATATAAATCCTAAAATAATTTAATTGATTAACTCAGGTGTATTTATAATTACAGTTTACGATGGCTTTTTATTTGAGTATTAAATTTATATCCTTGTGTTGAGGATAAGATAGTTTTAAAATAAACTCTTAGCTATAATCTTTGATTTCTTGAATTACAACACCTTGTTTTTTATAAAATGTTTATTTCTATTTCCATCTTTGATTATAATTTAAATAATTTACATTATTTTGTTATATACTGTTGGCATATAATATATTGTTGTGGTTGACTAAACATATCAATTTATAAAGTTTTCTTTACAAACCCAAATTTTTATTTAAAGTTATTCAGAAATGCATCTTTCCTAATTTATTCAAAATGCTTAAGAATAAATATGTTTAGAGCACAACTGCAATTAATATTATTGTGATTTAAAGCACTCCGGTATTCCATTGTACATTACATAATCTTTTTTTAATATAATACTGTATTTAATCACAAGACATCATATTCGACATCCAACTGTTGTGTTCAGCTGCTGAGCCATCTTGCTCTTGTGCCTGAATACTCTTTTTAGTTGCAACCATTTACTTGATAAGGGGCTCTGATAAACCCTTCTATTTATACCTGTTGTTTGTCTACAAACAATCAACATATCAACCACATATTGTTTTGATCCTTGACAGGTTGATGTGACAGAGTCCTGGTATCAGGCTCACACAACACCAACTATTTTAAATCTCATTTCAACCATAATTACAAATGTTTACTTATCAAAATCTTAGATTATTTCTGTTATTATATTTTCAGAATATTGTTCTTTTAATAATCAAAATTGTTGAAGAGTAGATTCTGGGAATCATACTCTTAGTCGTCTTACCACTATTAACTCAATTAGGTTTTTCACCCCTAACTTGAGTAACAACTAAATCTTTATCCCAACAAAAACACCGTTGTTATTTCAATAATGTTTTCAAACTAAATATTTCAATAACTAAAACAACTAACCAATTCCATTTTCTTGTTTTAGTCAAGGGTGTTCGAATCCTCTCGTTCTTTTTGCTTTAATGTAGCTAGCAGCTTGTTCTCACTAAAACCAATCAGTTTCCCGTCCCAATCATACTGTTTCACCAATGACATCGCTGACTCTACAAAACCAATTGATTTGGTTATGATGGCATATTCCAATTGTTGTTTGTTTTTCAGAGTAATACCCAAACTTACAATTTTCTTGGTGATAAATACGTCAATGTATTCATTAATTGTAATATTATCAAGTGGGTACGTTCTCGTTCTTGTCTTAAACTGCGTAGTAATATCTGCATCCACCATGTCTACTTCCTTTTCTGACATGAAAACGGTCTTACGGCCGCTAGACATTGATTTAAGCACGCTTGAGAAACCATTGATCCTTGCATCCAGGATAATCTCAGGCTTCTGCAGATTCTTCCTGTTACATAATAGCCCCTGCGCATCATCAACAAGAAACAGCCTGAATTCAAATGACCTCCTTGGAACTGCCTTATTGAATATGTCATAATAGCTCTTTCCCTTAAGTGACTTGTCAGTCAGCAGATCAGATGGACTCATGATCAATAAGGTCACAAGCTGCTTCGTATCTTTTATGGCATTCTTGTCTACGTCATAAAGATTTTTCATTACTGTGAATGGCTGCTTCTTTGACTTCTTGTACTTCGATTTCATCATTTTTAGCTGACAGTCCAGAATATACGCCAGTCTCTTAACGTAGAATGACTTTCCTGTTCCACATCGCCCGTGTATGAACAGAAAGTGGTCTTTTGGCGTGAAATTGTCGCCCTCAAAAATGTCTCTTCCAACAGCATTGCATATTTTCAATACCCTATCCTTGATTTCATCCTCCTTTCCTACGAAATACGAATCCTCATACAGAGACAAATCAATACTCTTTGGTGGCATATCTGCTATAACGGTCTCATCACTTTCTTCAATCATTTCTATGTTACCGTATCCTATCTCAACGACAATGTTGTAGAACATCAGTGGGAATACTATACAGAATACACCTATGAGGAATATGCACAGTTTCAATATTGATGCTGCTATCTTATTCATCTTTTCCTTTGTCGTGATCTGGTTGGTGACGTCTTTCTGTGGTCTCTGATTCCTCTGTTCATTTTCTGGATTTGCTTCTGATAAATTTTGTTCAGGCATAAGGGGCTAATGAGAATGATTTTGTTGGCGCATTTGATGACTACTTAATTCACCCTATACTTGAATAAGTTGAATGCATGACATCAACTATCTATATATCATGCGCATCGTAGTCAAATAGCATTGTTTACAATATTTATGTCATTTAACCCATATGAAGAAGAATACACTCTTTCTATTTGATGTAGATGGAACACTGAGCGAAAGCAGGGCGCAAGCACCGAGATTCATAATGGAGATGCTGAGAGAGCTGAAGACACGAGTGAAAATTGCATTTGTGGGCGGGTCTGACCTGACGAAACAGAAGGAGCAGCTGGGGGAGGACGTGCTTGTCATTTTCGACTACGGCTTCCCTGAAAATGGCGTACAATTCTACGAGAACGGTCTCCTGGCTTCGAGTGAATCATTCATAGGGTGGCTTGGGGAAGAAAAGTTCAAGAAGCTGGTGAACAAGTTTCTGGCGGTGTTAGGAAGGACCGATTGTCCGAAAAAGAGGGGGACATTCATCGAGACCAGAAACTCGATGATCAACGTGTGTCCGATTGGAAGAAGCTGCACCAAGAAGGAGCGAAAGGAGTTCAACGACTTTGATGGGATTGAGAAAGTGAGACAGAAAATTGTGGACGAAGTGGCGCCATTTGTGGACGAGATGGACGTGGCCTGTTCGATAGGCGGGCAGATTTCGATCGATGTCTTCCCGAAGGGGTGGGACAAGACGTACTGCCTGAAACATATCAAGGAGACTGAAATCTACTTTTTCGGTGACATGACTCACAAGGGTGGAAATGACTACGAGATCTTCATGCACCCCAAAGTCAAGGGACTCACCGTCTCTGGGCCAGTTGACACGCTCATGGGCGTAAACGATGTTTTAAAGAAAATTGGGGAGCCTGAAATACGCATAAACGAATAAAACACTGTTAATTTTAACCCATGCAAAGTTATTCAAGAAAGCCAACGAATCTCTACCAGGACACGCTCAATCTGCGAGTGCTATTCACTGGCTCCCTTCAGGGCGACAGACCCCTGCTTTCTGAGCTTGGAATCGACCTCACAAGCATCCGGAGCGAGTCTACGATCGTCTTTGACGTCATCACAAAAAGATTCAAATATGAGGAGCACCAGTCGTGCGATTGCATTGGGCCTGTTGTCTTCATCGCACTCTTTGCATTCGCACTAACTCTCAAGGCCAAGCTTCATTTTGGATACATCTATTTCCTGTGCATATGCAACGTAATTGGAATATTTGGATTAATCAACCTCTTATGCACAGAATACATTGGTCTCACTGCCTGCTGCAATGCACTTGGATACTCGTTTCTTCCGATTGTGCTCTTCTCTTGGAGCAACCTGTTTCTCTTCTTCGTCCCCCAAACCATTTCAATTGTTTTGGGCGTCATTGCAACAGTTTGGGCCACATTTGTATCGACCCAGCTTCTGAGCCACAAGTTGGGCACGTACGATAAGACGCTTATAATCGGGTATCCAATCTTCCTAGGCTACTTTGGTTTCGTACTCATGGCAATATTCTAATAAAGTATCATATTCTAACAAATTATCATATTCCATGGTCCCAAGGTGATCTCGTCCTTATCTCTGTGTTTGGAATTCGCTTTTCAATTCGTCTCATTGCCTCGTGCACGTGCGTCGGCATCAGTGGCCCAGTATGACCAGCCTCCTTCTGAACCACAATCGCCTCCATCACTAGCTCTCCAACAAACACCTTTGCAAGCCCACTCACCCCAATCACGATATTTGGATTCACTGCCTGCCCAATAATTTGGTTTATGTATTTCTTTACTGCCCCCTTCACAAAGTTGCTTCTTCTGAATGTCTCGTATCTCTGCTGATCATTCTGGCTCATGACTGCGACCTGTTTCTGGATGAATGCGTCTGTCTTCTCTCTGAAGACGCTGTCGTCAGTGGACAGCTGATTGTTTACGTCTGACGACTCAGATGGCTCGTTCTCCTGCACGTTATTTTCATTCTTCTCATTTTTAGCCATTGGGGTTGTTGAAACTGCCTATGTTTTAGATTGGCAATGGCCCCAAATACCCTCATGAATTAACTTATTTCACTATAAAATGTTCTAACAGGGGTAAAACAGTAAACGACTCACTTTTTACTCAAATCCATGAATTCAGCAACCTGATCGTCACTAACACGCTTTCGACTCTCCTGGAACGACCTAACAAACCGCTGTACTTCTTCTACGCATATTGTCTTGATGTCTGCAGTAGACATTTCTCCCTTACTGTATTTCCTACCAATCTCATGCAATCTATCCTCGTCTTCCATGAAGTATTTCAGATACTGATACGATACGTCTGAATCGAGACACGCGCCCTTCTCCCTTTGCTCGGCCAACGTGGCCTGGCCGCCTGAAAATGCGTGTTTTCTGATTTTCCTTTCAATTTCCTCAGGGGTGTCAGACAGAAAAATAGACGAGTTCTCATCAGAAGCACTCATTTTCCTGTTTGGGCCACGCAAATCAGGCAACAGGCTCACGTAGAGCGAAGTTGGCTTCAACTCGCCCAGAATGTTGGCCTTGTGTCTCGCCAGCCTGAAATACGGATCCTGATCAACTGCTGCTGGAATCAAAACAGGCGTGTTTTTCTCAAGAAATGGAAATGAGCTGGAATACGCCGGTGCTATTTCCTTGGCTGGAAATTGCGCCATTCCAATGCTCGAATTCATTCCAAAGCCAAAGACCTTGAATGCCTCGTTCAGGCTGATCAACTTGCTGATCTTGAGTGTATTCTTCTCAAAAATACTGCTTGATTTGTAGTTGGAGAAGATGTACGTCAGCTTTGGATCAAATCCAAATGCAATGATGTCCCTTATGTTCAGCATTCCGTACTTAATGGAGTCTTCCAGAGTCAGGTTCTCCTTGAAGATGAATTTCTCATCATCAGTTATCTGAATCACAATGGGGCATTTGAACACGTCCTGGAAGTACTTGCAAAGCAGGAACGGAACAGCGTGTCCAATGTGCATTGATTCGCTTGATGGCCCCCTTCCTGTGTACATGTAGAACTTCTTCTTCTCTTTAATCAGCTCAATGATTTTATCAAAGTCCCTGTGAGCAAAGCAGAGGAGCCTTCTCAGCAGTGGATGCGTATTCTCTCCCAGACACTTCTCCAAATCAGTGATGTGATCACGCGTTAGTTTCTGGCAGCCGAATTGCTCGATGATGTGGTCGTAGTTGATCAGTTTTCCCTCTTCGGCGACTACTTCCCACGGTGTCACCACTGTCTTCGAATCATCTTGTGGTCTGTTGCTCTCAGTCATGGGGTTTCAAAAAGTTTTGCTTTTATACTTTTAGTGATTGAATATACACTGATTTACATCACTACGCTATTATAGTATAGGTTGGTGGGCTAGAATATAGCATTGTTAGAGTATTTTATCGTATTTTTGGGTCTGGGCGATTTGATCACTTCTTAAATCAGGTGGGTTTTTTGATCAAACACAAACATCAAGAATAATGTGAAGGAAATAGTCTCTTGGTTACTATTAACGTGTTTAATACTCTTTACTGGTCATTTATAAACTGATTAGGAAATAATCATTCTTGTCTGTTTTAGTTGACAGGAATCAGCTGAACTAAGTAAATTTTATCACGAAATATCTGACTCACATAATCATTTAATGTTGTAATAAATATCTTTATAGCACTGTTGGAGTGTCAAGTGCGTTATTTCTTCATTAACAACACCTTCCGCTTCATCCTGGTTGAATACAAATGATATTTTCATTTTACCATTTACAACAGCTACAAACTCAGAAATGAACTCAATATGACCAATCTGTACATCAATTGGTGTATCCAAATAGTAATTGTTCTTCAGTAAAGACTCCGCATCAGAACTCTTCTCAATTGCATATGCTGAAAAATCATGCATATTTTTAAGGTTGTTTTGAATTTATAGTCAAAATACAACTGTTTATGCATAAGGAGATAAGAACATGGTTTCTGTATTATACAGAAGATGAACAGAGGGTATTTAACAAGGATTAGGATGCCATACACCTCATTCTGGATGAATTGACGGAACCTGAGATCAATGAGAATGTGTTTATTTGTGATTACGATTTCTATGCAAAATACGGTAACTTGAGATCGATTAGCTGTGCTGTATCTAAGTATTTGTACAAGAAAACAGACAAATTGTCCAAGATCAAGACAAGAATCAACATCAGCTCTTTTACAGGTTACAAATTAACCACAATTGAACAATTTTCACCTGAAATTGTTGGAAAATTCATTAAAGTGACTGGAATTGTAACACAAACAAAATCCACACAAATAAAAAGATGCATATTTATGCATGAATGCACTGTATGCAATAAACTCAGGAGACTGAACACAACAAATAATTCACCACAGTGTTCATGTAAGAATAAACAGCACCTATTCCACTCAAACCACCCAGAAACCACGATTGAAGAATCACAAACCATTCTGGTTCAGTTACTACCAGAATATCAAATGAACACAATTGAAATTGTTCTACAGAATGAATTATGCAATAGAGCAGAACCTGGTGAAGTATACGACTTCGTTGGCCAGGTTGAAATTCAACTGAAAGGAGAGAGCTACCACACATTTCTTGTTGCAAACAACATAAGAAGACACATCAGAGAAAGAGTCGAAATCAACAAAGAGGATTTCATTGCATTTTCAAAAAAGAAGAATTTGATGGGGATATTGATCAATAGCGTGTTTGAAAACATAGCAGGCAATGAACTGATAAAGGCAGGATTATTGATGGCCATGTTTGGTGGAACTGAAAAATACACTGGCTCAGTTGCAGTATCAGATAAAATCCACGTACTGATCATTGGTGGAGCAGGATTAGGAAAGACTAAAACACTCAAAGATTCCGCTAAAGCAGTCACCAACTCAAAATACTTTACAGGTGAAAATGATCATCACTTTCTATCCAATAAAACAACAACAAGAAAGAAGCAACATTCTACCAAATGTGGAATAATCAAATTGGCACAAAATGGACTATGTTGCATTGATAACCTGGAAGAAATCAGAGATCTGTACAATTTGAGTGACATTCTTCTGAATAATACAACAGTTGTAGCCACAACCAGATCAAAAAACAACACCTTTGATTCCACCAAAACCATAAAAGAGAATACGAATCTGCCTACCGATGTCCTTGATTGCTTCAATCTGACATTTGTGATCAAAGACACACTCACCACGAAAGAAAACTACGAAATCAGTAGCAAAATGCTAAAGAGAATCGAAGGCAGCTTCGTTACCAACTTCAACAGCAGTTGCACCACCGAAACAACAACTAAACTGGATAAGTTGTTCCAGAAGGCAAGAAACACTCACAGTTTCTACAAGGAAACAGATGAATCAGTCAATATCAATTTCATCAGGGGATATATTGAATACGCCAAATCACATTGCAAACCAAGGTTGTCTAGAGAATCACAAGAGCATCTCATTGCCTATGCCAGAGAGAACAAACTCACAACCAAATCACTTGAAACCCTGATCAATATCACTGAATCAAATGCAAAAATGCACCTGATGAGCACCACTGACCTAAATTGCGCAATGTTTGCTACCAAAATATTCAAAGAAACCAGCCAGACAAAGACAGTCACCAAATCAAAGGTGAAAATTGAAGATGCTCTCAAAAACTACAGGGCTGAATTCGGAACCAGAATCAACAAGGCCGCCCTGATAAAAATCATTGAGGAAACCAACGATGATACCAATGTGCATAAAATACTAGATAAGCTTAATTATAGGGGAATAATTATCAGAAGAAACAAGGAGGAGTTTAAGATTGATTTGTAGGAAATAAACAACCCATGACAGAGCAGAAACCAAAGATTGAAATACTCCACTGGGACCTGGTAGCAACGTGGTCACTTGATCTACAGGTTGAGACGTGTACAATTTGCAGGAATCACATCATGGACATGTGCATAGAGTGCCAGGATGACGCAGCAAACTCAAAGTGCATGCCAATTTGGGGGAAATGTGGTCACGCCTTCCACAAGCACTGCATCAACAAGTGGCTGAATACGAAGAACATCTGCCCATTGGATACTCAGATTTGGGTTGAAGACACAGACGCCAACAAATTGCAGAAGGAGTAGGCTGTAACAGTGTTTCAGAAACCAAAATTAATCCTGTATTCGTCATATGGCATGGATCAGAATGAGAACGAGAAAGCAGTAGCATTCAACAAGAAGGCCAATACCAAGAAAATCACGTCACTCAAGGAGTTCTTCACCTCTGAGCTCTCCTACGTCAACGACCTGACTCTTTGGGAGACTGGTTTCAGGAAGGAGATCCTGAACATGAAATGCATTCCAACAAAACAGCGGTATCTTCTGAATGACATCATCTTCTGCAATTTGTCTCAAATTGTGAATTTGCACCAGGAGAATCTCGAACTGATGCAAGAAATCAATTATCAGGCAATGAAGGCATCGTATGAGAAAAGAGGAAAGGAAATCAGTAAGCGGCTCATGAAGAAGACTGAGTTCATAATACCATTGGACGAGGACATCGATGTGACCAAATTGGACTATGCCACCATTTACATGGACAACTTTCCCAAGGCATTTGCCTACTACATCGACTACACCAAAACACTTCCATTTGCAATCTACGAGTTGGAGCGACTCAGATTCAACAACGCCGAATTCGCAGATGGCGTAGTGAACTGGCTCAGAAAGAACAAGGTCTACAACCTGGGCGTAAACCACTTCATGTTCAGGCCATCTGTGAAAGCAGCCAGATACGGGATACTCTTTGACAATTTGATCAAAAGAGAGGTGACTGACACCATCAGAGAGATCTGGATCGGTCTCAAGGGAAACATCTCATCGGCAGTTGATGAGTTGGATCGAACATTCAAGGAGAGTTCGAAGTATTTCAACCTCTACGTCCTGAAGAAGCTGGTCACCTACAGAATCGAATCACATAACATCTTTGCCCTGGGACTGGAACAGAAGGGCCTGAACATGATTCTGGAGACGCAGCTGATTGTGAAGAAGTCGATGGTTGAGCCAGCCTCGTACAAACAGGTCTACGTCTTCAACAAGATGCTTGTCATCTGCAACACGATATCCAATCAGTTTGAGAACATTGTGATTGATACGAGACCAATATTCCTGTCCAAATGCATAATAATGAGAAATAGAATGCCATTCTTCGACCAGTCAGACAACATCGACAACCTCTACCCAATCTACGTGATCCAGAAGGAGCTGCTTGACATCAAGGGCCTCTACTTCACGGACCAGTACTCCCGGAACGCGTTCTTTGAGAAGCTGAAACACGCGATAAAGCAGGCGATTCCTGCTCGCCAGAATGATCAATTCTTCTTTGACGAGGTAAACACCGTTGCTGCTGATAGCAAACTGACCTGCATCCTCGAATTCGAGAACAACGACACCGATGAGAACGGAGACACCTTCTACAACAGGCACAAGGAGACGTACGACCTGGATAAGACGGTCGTAGGGCAGTTGGAGGAGACGGTGTCAGAGAGCAGCAGCGTTGCGACTGAGGATGTCCACTGGGAGACGTATTCTGGGCTGCAATTTGAGTACGTGAAACACGAGGCGAAGTCGAAGGAGAGGAAGAAGTCGGTGCTACAGAAAAACTCCAAATCGGGGTCACTGCTGAAAACGAACCTGTTTGAGAAGTTCTACAACAACAAAATGGCGGAGAAGTCGGAGGAGTCGTCCGACCAGAGCGGCGATGAGGAGCAGGCTGAGGAGGAAGGCGGCTGCTGCAACATGCTGAAGACGAATCCGCTCTTCGCAGTCGACATCTCCATCCAGAAGCCGCTTTCTGGTGAAAACAGGCCATTTACGGTCTATGCCACTGAAGAAGGCGTCTTTGTCCGCGTAGAGGGCGACGAGGAGGCAACGAAGATCTGGAACCAGGGCACCAGGAAGGTGCTCTACGACGAGAGGCACCAGCTGCTGATGTTCATGGTCGGCCCCCGCCTCCACGTCGCCCACTTCCACTCGACCATGCGCAGCATCAAGCCGCAGGAGCTGAGTCTCAAGATCGAGGACTTCTTCCACGGCTGCACCGACGACAAGACGTACGTGGTGCTGACTGTCTCAGGCGCCTACGACTTCTCGCTCATCTACCTCCTGAACATCGAGGAGCACGAGGAGCACAACCAGCTCGTCTTCCAGCGCAAGCTGTACATCGGCAACAAGATCTCGTCCCTCTGCTTCATCAGAAACCGCCTGATCATCGCATGCAAGGAGTTCGAGGTCGTCGACATCGACTCGTTGCGGACGCAGTCGCTGATCGAGGACTACGACACGTACACGGCCTCGTTCACGAGGGCGATCAGAAGCCTCGAGGCCAAGGCCACCTTCAAAATCGACTCAGAGACCTATTTGCTCTGCTACAGCGGAGTTGGCTTCTACATCGACCTGATGGGCAGATACAAACACAGCTCAATCTACTTCAACTGGGAAGAAAGGGCAAATCACTTCCGCCTCTACCGGAAATACGTCGTGGTTCTGAGCGACCACTTTCTGCAGCTGTTCGACCTGCGAAACGGGAGGCTGCTCCACTGCCGCGAGTTCGAGGACGGGCAGTTCGTGCTGAACAGTCGGAGACTGCGCGTCTTCAACGAGACGGGGCAGTTTGAGATAGCGGAGAACGACGACTTCGTCCACGTGAGGAAGAAGAGGACGAAGAAGGCAGTTGATGGGGTTGGGCCGAGTATCGTGGCAAACAGAAACATCTTCAGGCAGTATTCGATGCTGACTACGATACCAGCAGAATTCAGGGTTGTGAATCACACCGTGGCAGACCACACTGTTTCAGACGACCGTGTTCTGATGAAGAAGAGCAGGAGGAAGAAGATCAGGAAGCCACGGATCAAGCCAGGTGACATCCACAGGAAGCTGAGTGTGGACGAGGGCTGTTGGAGACTGAACAGGGCTGTGAGCAACAGGCGCATTCAGACTGAGCCAGTTGGAAGCGAGTTGCCTGCCATTGACAGGGTGGTTGTGACTGATGAGACAGTAGCAGCACCAATTTACATGAAGGAGAATGTGTCAACTGAGACAATCAACGAGATCATCAAGGCGTATGAGGAGAAGTACAAGAATTACAGTCTGCTTTGTCTCAAGTTAGTGGGGTAGTTAGGTAGTTAGGGTGGTAGCAATCATTTACTACTATAATAATAGTAGGGTAGATTTACTACTACAATAATATTAGTGTCAATCATTTACTATAATAATATTAGTGTCAATCATTTACTA